TTCTGATCGTGATTTTGTTGCAGTTATAAGACTTAGTTTTGATAGTGATTTTGTTGATTTGGGGTCCTTTAATTATGATTTTTTTGCAGTTACAGGTACTCATTAAGATTTTAGGGGTTTTTTGACGTACATACCATTTCCTGTGACAAATTCAGTAGTTTGTTTTGTCACCTAGATACTGTTTATAATAAAGATAAGTGTGAGATTAACAATAAAAGAATTTAAAAAGTTGATATATACACAATGTAAATTATGTGGTATGATTGTTTAACAGACGTGCTATCTCTAATAAAAACATGTTTTCTTTCACGAAAACACTTGTTATATAACACGATATTTACCTTAATGCATTTAAAATACCGGTAGATAAATTTCAATCTGATTAGAGCAAGGTAAGATTTATCTGATAACCTTTTGCGGAAATGGTGCTTTTAAGACTTTTTTTTATCCTTTCTACTACACATTTTATATTGTTAATTTTTGCAATATCTAAAATCTATAACCTACAAGATTTTATATGTTGTACATGCAACAATGGCGGCTGCAGAACTTAGGTTCAGAGAAGTTCTCCACAAAATCTGTTTATAATCATTATAGAGGGTGTCAGAAAAAGAAATTTGATGGAGTTCGTAACAGCTTGTCAGTGTGAAGATGGTGTACTTAGTAGCTTGACATTGTGAAGATGGTGTCCGTAGTAGCTTGACATTATGAAGATGGTGTTCGTAGTAGCTTGACATTATGAAGATGGTGTCCGTAGTAGCTTGACATTATGAAGATGGTGTTCGTAGTAGCTTGACAATGACATTATGAAGATGGTGTTCGTAGTAGCTTGACATTATGAAGATGGTGTTCGTAGCAGTTTGACATTACGAAGATGGTGTTCGTAGCAGCTTGACATTATGTAGATGGTGTTCGTAGTAGCTTGACATTATGAAGATGGTGTTCGTAGTAGCTTGACATTATGAAGATGGTGTTCGTAGCAGCTTGACATTATGTAGATGGTGTTCGTAGTAGCTTGACATTATGACATTATGAAGATGGTGTTCGTAGTAGCTTGACATTATGAAGACGGTGTTCGTAGCAGCTTGATATTATGAAGATGAAGTTTATAATAGCTTGACATTGTGAATATGAATTACCCGATGTCCACTTGAATCGAACACATATCACGATATTCTGTCATCATGATATAGTTGATGGTGCGTTCGTTTTACGAGTGTCACTAATGATATTGATCCTGTGTTGTTCAATTACTGGTGTCTTACTGGTGATAATGTACAGTGAAACCCTAAACCACTCAATATCGACTATTATTTAAGGTTATACGAGCTTATCACACTCTTACACAGTAATTAAACCTCTTTCCGATGTTTGGGTCGCATAAATCAGTCTAGAATCATAAGGATTTCATACTAAGAAATGAATAGAAACTAAGCTTACATACTTTTCTTTCAATGTGCTAGCAAACATCGGAGACGTAATGTACAAAGAAGAAAATGCCAGGTAGCGGCATTAGACTAGTCTTTCCGATTACCAATAGTCTAGAAAAATCCAACATTAAATTTGAAGAAAATTAGTTTGAGTTGTTCAGTCTTCGACAAATTTGATCTTTCAATATCCTAAAAAAAAAGTAGGCTTTCATTTTTACGAAAAAACTAACAGATCGAAAGTTTCGTCCTTTTTTCTTCACATATATTTATCATCGATATGTTCAATTTATAGTATTTCATGTTATCGTTTGAAATACTACAGTGTATTTTCAAACTTATAAATATATTTTTTTCCTTTTTGCAGGAAGGGCGATAAAATTGTGCCTTTCCTTTCATTAGGCCTATATCACAAGCGGATGTTTGATGTGCTCTTGTGTTTTGTTTGTCATTTTTCCCGTTTCTTTTTCCTTGCATGAAAGCATTTTTCTACTTTTAAATAGTTCGATGTTATAAAGGCCCAGAATTCAGCAAATATTTATATCAAAAAAGGAATCTAAGTTTATTGTGCGTTGGTGCGTGGCCAGTGGTGCGATTGGGGGTACACATGATCGACACATGTATTACGCAGTACGCAGCAAATTGTCATAAAGTTTTGGAAATTTTTCTTGTGATATAAACCTCTTTACAGATTGACTTGCTTTTTGTGAGATGTATGATATGTAGTAGATGTATGGTATAATGATACACCATTCTGTTTACTGATAACATTTTATCTCTTATTAGTCTGACCCAGAAATATCTGGTGATCATAGATTATCAGATCATTAGTCTAATGATACAGCACCGATTTATTTATCTAATGATAATCATAATAACAAAAGAAGTTTCTTCAAATAGTTAGTAAGATAGTATGTTATTTTTATACGCCCACGTGAAATGACGGGGCGTATATTCACGTCTCCAAATGTCCGTCCGTCCGTCGGTAGGTCCGTCGATTCGTCCACAATTGCTCGTAAACACGGCACAATCATCGGCGGAGCCAGGTTTGCTTCCGAGGTGGGGCGAGATATCTGAAAATGCCCGAATCTCTAACCCTGTTATGAGATTTTTACCCGAAATAAACTGGCTCCCTGCCCACTCTGCCCCCCCCCCCCCTCCCCCCCCCCCTTTGGCTCCGCCACTGGGCACAATTCAGGACGGATTTTGACGAAACCTTGGTGCGACTTAAGTTATTGAAAATCAGAAGAATCGACAAATATTTTGTATGAGTTATTGCCCTTGTTCTTGAAACGCGTTCAATATTTAGCTCGCAAACACTCAGAATTGACAGATTTTGACAAAGCTTGGTAATATTATTCAGTATCGCCCCGAAAAGTTCAAAAGAAGAGCATGACTGAAGGTTGAATAATTCATACCGGTGATAAATATAAATAAATACTGCCAAATATTTTTATTCGAAATCAAGCTGTCGGTGGGCGTGTATTACCTTGTCTGGCAAGCCATCTTAATACTTGAATTAACAATATTTAGGCTACTTCAATCCATTAAGAGTAGTCTTAGAGTTTGCCTGATCAATGCAGAATAAAAAGAATCGTTTCGTTTAGATTAATGGTTCCACTTCGAAACTACCTGACCTGATATTTCTGACAGGCATACCAAGTCTTCTAGGACGGAATATGAGCCAAGATGTGAGACCCATGATAACTGCAGATTATCGTAATATAACGCCTAGTATTAAGAATGGAGAAGTTTCCAAAAACTCCTATGTAAAGCACCGGCCAAGGTCACAAATAAAGAAATTTTTGTGGATATAACAGAATTTAGTTTTGAACATAAAAAACATACTGATAATCTATAATAAATTAAAAATTACAATTGGTCTATATTATTGAACCTCCGAATCAATATAATTCGGTGGATAAAAAAAGTGTAGAAGAACAAATATCACCTAGACTTCAAGTTATTTCATAGGCCATTGCTATCTTAGGGAGGATGGCACCTAGTACAGACTTAGATGTTTCAGACAGTTCAAACAGCCGGTGTAGGGATTCATTCTCCATATTATCCAAACTATTATATAATTCTATAGGCCTGTATATGAAGATTTTTGGTAAGAGCCAGTGAGTTTCGAATTTAGAATTTGGTCTTCCTTAGTCTATTGTAAATGAAATATATAAACTTATATGGTACAAAAATTAGAATAAAAAAAAAGAAAACCGTTCGAGACATTTTACATGTCTCTTTTATATGTAACGGTTTCGAGTGAAGTGTATGTGGACTATGTTATTGTGAACTTTGACCTTAAGTATATTACTACGCTAGAGGTTTAAGAGAATCGTGACAGGGAAATGAGAAAATGTTTAAAAATTTAATCAATATCTAAACTAATAAAACCTTTATTGATTTTCGCTAACTGAAATATTTTTAAAACCTGACAACCAGTTAATTTGACATTACTCAGTGAGTCTACTATGAACTATTTCAACGAAAGCAGCCATATCCGGGAAGTGCTCTTTGGTCACATGTCAGAAAATATTGATCAAGAAATTAAGTTGAGGAAAATGAAGGTTAAATTCATAATAATATATTTATTTATCTTACAATGTTTTTAGATTTTTGGTCAGTGCATTGGTAAGATGAATTATTTTGAAAACATGAATGTTAATCTAGAGACAGATTCTGTCTAAATAATAAATAGATACTGAACCAATGCAATATTGATGATATCTGAGAATGACATAATTTATGACTGTGATGAATTGATAATAATAACACTTCTTTCTTGTGTCAAGTAGCTTCTAAACACTTGTGCAACAAGACTTTCAGTATTACTGAATAGGCCTCCATATTCCATCACAAATTGAGACAGGTTAACGTTCAGATCACAATCATAGACTAAGTCTAGGCCTACAGACCTCTTGCAACCCATGCCCTGTTGTGTTGTAGTAGGTGTAGCCTAATAAATTGGTTGCATGTTGCAGCCACTTATTATTGTGGTAACAACTCTTAATGTGGGGTTCACATGGATGTGATAGTCCTACACACTTTCATTATCTTGCATGGTACATGTGATATTTTTTTTGAGTTTGGTGTGAAAAATAAGCTGGTAATATATAAACAGAATTTGCCTTGATAAAAATAAGAGCCAATTTCTTCCTGAGTAAGATTTTGTTAAATCATTTTTTCCTCTTTGATCAGTAAGCTTATGACATTGCATAACAATTAACCTGATCAATGATCATCAGATGATTGATGGAATGGGCAAATAACCAGAATATAATGTAAATTGATAAAATATGATAACATGACATTAGGTTCTGTTATATATTTTTTATTTTTTTTTAGCACAGACTGGACTAATAAGATGAAGACTTTCAAACGCCTGATAAAAATAACAATTTAACCAAACTACTCATTAACATACTCATCATTCATTGCTTTGATAGGCCTAATGATACCTTAATCACATTCTCTGTATTCAGATTTATCATATTCTCTGTTTTCATATTTATCACATTCTCTGTTTTCAGATGTAGGAACTTATCCCTATAGCTCTATAGATTTAGAAAAATGTCGGGTGGAAGTAGTATAGTTGTACCTATGGTATTATGGGGCAAGTATGCACCTACTCATTGTATATCAGCCATATTGGCTACCCAAGATTTAAAGAATATTGTCACTGGTTGTAATGATGGACAGATTCTAGTGTGGGATTTAACAGATAGTGGACAGGTATTTTGAATTTATGTAAAATATAGAGGTTCCATAATTAAGTTAGTCTTGAATTGCAGGAACCACAGGCACCAGACAATAAAAGGAAGAATGATAGGTGAAGACATACATTTGCAGGGCTTGAAAACTTTGCATTTATATCAACTTAGTCAAAAATTATGTGAGCATCTTTTGCAAAAATGTTAGAAAATGTTAGTTTTTGCATAGACATTAAATTGCTTTCAGGTGAAGTTTTAAAGAAAAACAACAATCTGAAATGTGAATCAAACTTTATCATTTATTATTTTTGCAGGTCTATCCAAGGAGTATGTTATTTGGTCATACAACATCTATTAGTTGTCTTGCTTTAGGTAGCAATCAGTCAACACAGCCATATATAGTTAGTGCTTCTGAAAATGGGTAGGCTGTTCATTACGTTCCCATCTTTCCATAATTTCACATAGTATTACAGAGACATCCTTAGTTATTGTATCTTATTATCTTTAACTTGCACCTTGTTTTATCATAAATCTTTACTTTGTGACCTAGGCCAGTGCTTTCGCAAGACTATGTTCTCATCACCATCTAACACAAAGGTTATGTATTTGTGTGGACCAAATACACAACTATCAACCAAAATGCAATCTTCAAGTGAAAAATTCACAAGCTTTGAAATACAAATAAGTAAATATGACATGAGTTCAGAAGGGTTGTTTGGTCTCTAAAATCTCTATATTCCATGTTCATTAGCTGTAGTCAAGCCTGTGTAATATTCATGTATATTTATTCATGAGCTCTGTGGTCATTAAGATTAAAAATTCCAAAATTCCAGAGAGATGTGTTTATGGGATATTAGTGATGGAAGATGTATAGAGTATACTAAACTGACACAAGTACATACTGATATGGTGGTAAGTGTAACAATTATATTTGGCTAGCTGGTTGGTTGGTTGGTAGAAGACAAGTTAAGGTCCGCTTCAAGTTAGATGGTGTCCTAAACCATGTTTTGATTATATTCATTCTTTATGTACCATGACCATAAGCAGAATATTTTGTACAAAAAGTTTCGTGAATTAACCTAAAGGAAATTGAAATGATTGTAGTTTTGCATCATGCTTTTTCTGGTCCTGATTGGGTTAGCATAGAAGGGCAAGGGTATTTGTCAAGTTTTCTATTTGAAAAAAATACTTATTCTGGCTGTCAGAGTATATGTAGCTTTAACTGATGCAAATGAACAGAATAGAAGTGTATATAAGTATTGTATATATTTAAGTTTGTTGTATTTTTCAGTCTCATCATTTCTCTCACAGTAAAGATTTACAACTAGTTTGTAATGGATATTATCCTGAAGTTCTGATTATTAATCCTGTTACATTCGAGATTGTTCTTAGTTTATCATCCAAGGTTGTACCAGACTGGATCAGTGCTTGTTGTGTATTGAAACCTGTAAATAAAGAGGGTAAGATATTCCTCAATATCTGGTACCACTCTGCTACTGAGTCAACTCAGTTTCCCTATCGATTAGTACACGTAATTAATAATGTGTATTCGAGATGAAATATGTCAATTTGAAAGAGTTTGACACTTTCCTATATTTGTACTTCCATACTGTGCTTGAAAAACTGAAAGTCTTTTTTTTTTATCTATATTTTTGTCATCAGAGTAACTGGTTTTGAAAGGGGTTTTGAATTTTCCAATAACTAAAATAAATATTTTATATGGAGTGGAATGAAATTAGTTGAAATGATTATAATCATATGCTTGTTTGTAGGGGTGAGTTCCATTGGTCTTTAGAACCTGGTTCCCTTATAAATAATGCAACAAAATGTATGTTAGAGTACAGAGTAATAAAGAAAAGCTTGACTTATGGTTTGTCCTGTCCATACCTAAATCTAGAATGTTACAGGTGTTTTTTTTTTATTGAAAAGTTATACATTATAGGGGATGTGGTGTTAGCTATATCTAACTCTGGTACAGTTAAAGTATGGACATTAACTAGTATAGAAGCTAAGGTATTTACAGTATATTTCTTATTACAATCTTCTCATTGTAGATGGCTCAGCTTTATCTATTGTCTAAAAACTGTCTGGTCAATGAATTTGAGTACATACATGCATACATGTTTAAATTGTGCAGCAAATAATACAGTTTTTGTCAAATTTATTATTTTTTGTTATAAAGTTATTTTTTGCCCACATATAAATATTTTTTTAAGATTAGGAGAAACACGAGAAATATGAGAATTCTCTATTTCATAATAGCTTGGTTTTCTTAAGTTGATTAAAAGTTATTTTACAATGTTTTTGCAGTTAAAGACAGTATATGAAGATGAGTCGAAACAAATTCGATGTTTAAACGCTCAGACTCTAACTTGTTGTAGTGAAAATCAACGTACAGTTTTAATAGTCTGCTCCAAATACTGGCAGGTTGGTACTGTATTCTATTACTCACTTTTTTTGAACACCTTATGCCACTCTGTAACTGAGTTTTTCAGCTTTGATGATTTCACATTGCTAGCATTGTTTATTGGACATATTTATTTCTTTGATTTATTTTAAAAAAAATGTATATGGTTTTGTTTTCAAATCTGATTTACCTTGGCTTCAACAACCATTACTACCTTTCAGCTAAGATCAATGACATCTTGTTGATTGATCAATACATTCTGTTTAAGTAGAGAATAATAGCTTTTAAAAGATATAGCAGGGTTATACTTATATTTGAATAATTTGATTTAAGGAGGATATTGTATCTTGTAAGTGATTGAATAGCATAAACCTTAATTTGCTTCTGAAACCTTATTTATATTATGAAGAATCCAGAGAGTGTCTATTCTTCAAGAACATCTGGTTAGCATGGACAATACTTTTCTATTGTAATTGTCAGACTCACTTCACCAGTTATCTTTTAAAAATAAATTAACTTAATAGATAAATAAAGGATCTTTAATGAGTGCTTATATAATGAAGTTTATGCCAGATTTAATATTACCCGAGGGAAATGGTTAATCTTGCAACTCATTTCATAAATTTCACATTACATAAACACGAGTGAAAGATTCTATTTATCACACAACTTTCAATAAACGCATATTTTCCTTAAATTCCTTGCTCTTTTTCTATATACGGCTTCATTTTGAGGTTAGCCTTTTTACACCTTTCTACAAAATGCCCTTTGCCTTCAATTCTAACTGAGTTTTCAACTTCAAAGAATGCCATGTTTAAATGGTGCATGATTACATGACCTAAATTGCATAGTTATTAACCTGTGTTATATCTGTTTTATGAACCTGTCTTATGGACTCTAGAAAACAACTGTGGGGTGATAAGTGTATTTTCTATGCATCACTAGCCTCTTTAATCTTCTAAAACCTTGCTGAAACAATATTTTAGTTCCAATGTATTTCTTATTTAAGTTCGAGATATTTACTTAGTTTTCTCTAGATCTGATATTTTTGTCTTTAATCAAAATATTTTGCTATAATAATTGACATATTGTTGACTAAATTAAGAAATTCTTTGCTGAAGACTTCTTCAAAATATATCTATTATTCTTTTTAAAGATATTTTTTGTTTGATTAATGAGACGCTTAGATGTTGATATTCCCATTTAATTAAACATTTTAATTGACTTCTTAGAAAACACAGACAATAAAAACTGGGTTAAAACATAAAATATTAAAACAGACTCATTTAACTTTTGTCTTTGTTATTGATTAAGCAGTCTGGTAGAGAATAAAAACAAACAACAGTACATATCATTGTATATTACTTGAAATATGATACCTTTGAAAAAATGTTACACATCGAGGCCTGGGTTCCAAACCTTGGGTGCTAGTATCCTTATTACCACAGGGTGTACATAAGATGCCTTTTGGATAATTTTGAATAATATTGTTTTATATCATCAGCCATGAATTCAGGAAAGAACAATTCATGACTTTTAGTTTGCCTTTGATGGGTGAAGGGTGTACCATGTACCATGTCTTGATGTTAAGAGTTTAAGAGAACCAGGGAATACGAGAAATAAATAAACTTTTACCTTCTTGTTTTATCTGTTAAAATAATTGGTGATATATATGGTTGAAGAATAAGAATAAAATGTATTTGCCTCTCAGTGTGCCTTTTCCGTAGTAAATGAAAAAAAACAAAAATATTTTATAGCTTTTAACAAAATTGACTGTAAAATATTGTCAACAGACAGTTTGTACAGCAATACAAAGCCTAATAAAACATTACAAAATAATAAAACCATTGAAAAATTAAAATGATTCTCACCAGTGATAAAGATTGAATACACCAAGTATGTTAGTTTTGACTGCAGTAATGATTAGTAATTTACATCAAATTATACAAACAACAAGTATTGAAATTAAACATCATCTCTCTTTGTTTAATGTAGTAATAATATATATGATATAGATTACAATTTCACAAGTTATTTATTTAAACTGTTTCTGATCAGGTTGAAATATTTATCTATGGGTTTTAAAAGTCGTTCTATAGCCTATGTGTGTGTGTTAGAGACACAGTCATGTAGCTCCTAGCTTCTATTTACACAATACAAATTCCATTCTGTGGTTCCTGTAATTCTAGTGACACTTTAATCAGATTAAAATATCCCATTAATAAAATATATATTTATAATCTAGTCAATTTTTTTTTGAAAATACAGGAACCACAAAATGGAAATCTGCATGGTGAAAATAGAAGCTACATGTGTCTCTGATACATTAACAGACATGTAATTAATAAAAACTTAAAACTTTTGATTCCCATGATAAGAGCTAGAAATCCTCCTCATTGAACCACTTTAAGAAATTGATAATTGCATTATAGATTTTTCAATCAATGATTTAACTTTATTTAAATTAGGTTAAGTGAATTGATTTTCTTATCAATATCATGATTTACTCATCATAGACTGTAAACTTTCTTAAATAGAGAAACTTAAAAGAGGTAATATCACCAACTTTGCTGTCCAAGTAAAATTTCGGTAGCTCCCAAAAAGTAGGAAATATAAGTCTTCTATGGGCTACATGATTACATGATTATGTATTACATTACATTACATTGTATTACATATACCCAAACAGTGGTTGAAACAGCCCTTACCTAATGTCACATAACATTTATATCATTCATTTTAGCTCATACAACTTATGGGAGCCACGGTGGCTCAGTGAGTTAGACGCTTGCTCGCTTACCTGAAGGTCCACGGTTCAATCCTGGCATAGGTCAAGATAATATCTTCGGATTTTTCAACCCGGTTTCCCCCCGGTTTCCCCCTGTCAGTGATGCAGGTAAGAGAGGCTGACATGGAAAAAGCGCCTAGTCGTTCAGATGGGAAAATAAACAGAGACCCTGTGTGCTACAGGCTGTGCAAGTTAAATATCCCTCGACAGTTGGAAATTGAAAAAGAGCAGGCTAATTCCGCTGTCCTGGCAAAATTTTCCTCGTTGTACCCTGCATGGCATTGCCCGTCATCATTTCACTACATGGAGTTATGGATATATGATGTTTATCTTATTCACACTCAAGGACTCAGTGCATTATAAGAGATAGTTTAACTCTATTTTTAACATGATCATAGAAGTACATGTACTAAGAGAATAACTAAATTTGACTGAAGATAAATCATAGCTAACATTCATTAGAATTGATTCTTGATAAATCTTTAAATTGATTGCTTGACCAAACATAAATCTTAGAAAGAATTCAATATATCTTGACCATTGATAAATCTTGAACATTGTTCCAATAAATATAGGTTTGTCTGAAGAAAATTGATTTAAAGCCCTCAGTGACGATTGTACTATTGATAATTAGGAAGCTCTCCCATTTACTGTACTGGACATCAATACTATAATGGGTTTACCATATCAATATGTAAAAAATATTCAATAAGTGAACTCTTCTTTAAGTGCTGAGGTACCACTTCACAATTTACTCCTACTAATTGATTTATTTGTTAGTTTGATTGTTAACAGGCTAAATTGTAAACAAGGGTGGCTTAGTTTATATCTCAATAAATATATTACTATTATTATTATTTAAGATACAACATAATTTTTATACCTTAAAAGACAGGTATTGATATTTCTATTGTCTTTCCCTTTAGCAGGAAACCAAAACCCAGATGATAAATATTTTTGATCTCATGTGATTTTTAAACCGTCCAATCTCTTATGAAAAAGATTGTTTTGATTGGATAAGATTCATCGGTTGATACAAACCTATTTTGACAAAGTGTAGACCCTTACAGACAAGATGTAAGAGTCTTATATATAAATTATATATATAAATCTATAAACGATCAACCACAATTGTTAATGTCAAAATTTGTTCCACCCACTTCCTCGAATTCATTAAGTCAAGTTACCCAATTTCGTGTATTTCCGGAAATGATCAATAATTTACATGTGCGACTGCACGTGACCTCAGCATTTGCATTTTTTTATGTACATTGGTTATCTCTACGTCAACCTGCAGAATTTGTGCTAGAATATATTTCATTGAGCAAAGTCACTTGAAAAACTAGAGGATTCCATGTCAGCAGAAAAATTTTATGGAACACAATGTGGGCCATATTCTTATGTTGTTTCAATGAATTATAGCAATAAATTACTCTTACGTTTTACTTTACCCTGTTTTGTCAGTCACTATTTTTTTGTAAATCATTGATCTTTCAAGGAATTTTCTTTAGTTATAATGAAATATTATTAAAGATAAATACTAAGAAATGATAATTATACCACTGGGTATCAATACAACGTGTTTTTTTTACTTTGGATCAAACATTGTACTTGAAAATAGGTGACGTATTTTGCAGACGTTGTCGAGTTGTTTACTCATGAAATATGGGTCAAAGTGAAGGAATCATAAGGAAAATCAAAACAAACCAATTTTAATTATTTTATAGATTATCTGAAGAAACATCTAAGACATTAAAAAAAATTTCTGTTTTTTTAACTTTGACGCAATTGGATGTTGAATCCTTATATGCACGAATAAAGGTTACACCACTGTACTAACATTGCTAAGCAATTGCCGGTAGTTAAAAATATTTAAAAGTGTTCCACATCTACATGACCCATTGGTACTAAGGACTTTTAGTCTATAACTTATATGTATTCAGTTCATATCAAGTGTTTGATGTCATAAACATCTTAATTAATCTTTCATGTACCTTTGTGTAATATATAGTTGACTGTCTGTGGTATGTCAAATCTTTTGTCTTAATGAACTTGAACATCCAGTAATTTTAGACAAGATTATGCCAGAATTTTGAACTTTTCATATATAGATTCAGAGATGTTGTGGTTCTCTTTTATTTCATTGTCTCATTTTGTTTTTATGTTGAAATGTGGGCACTTGGCTCTCAATAGAAACAGAGCATTGCCAAGATTTTGAGAATTTAATTTTATGTTACATTACTGTGCTGGTACATGACCAGAATTTTTTCACGAAATGCATAGTTTGATCCACTTTCTATTCTATAGAAATCACAATTGATACAAATGACTTGATCTGGGCACTTATCTCTTTTTGGAAACAGGACAAACAAAGTCTTGTTACCTTCTATTCTATAGCAATCACAAATCATCCTACTCATGTAAAATAGACTGAGATGTAAGCTGAGATATCATAATTCATTCTGAGAAATTCCTAAGTGATTGAAATCTCTTTATTTTTTATGTTTCTTGGTGCATCGTTTATAGTATGTAATATTAATTTAAAGAGATTTTCTAAAAGATTTATGTGTATAAGGGACATTGATATCATCGATTTGCTCCTTTCAAATTTTTAATCAGACGTCTTTGGTTCTTGCAATTACTCTTAAACTATACATTTTATGATGTCAATATTGCAAAGGTCCTATCCAAAGGTCTTATATATCAATAGCAGCTTTTGTGATACTTTTAGTGGAATTACAAGATCCACAGACATCTGACTGAAATTTGGAATGGTGCAAAATAATGATTTCAGTGTCCCTGATACACATAAAGATTTTTAGAAAATTTCCTAATATAATGATATTTTTGATATTGTGTGCAACTTGATCAAACTACAATATATTTTTATGAATAATATATTGGGTGTTTTTGGAAATATTATTAATTTTAAAGGTATATAAATTTCGACATCGTGGATCACAAATGTCTAGGCATGAAGAAATGGTAAGAGAAAAATCACTGTGGAATGATAGAGTTAGACGTGCATTATTAAATCATTTCAGTTATCATATTTATACTAGATACTGGCACAAGTTAGAGAAATGGTACATTGTACAAAATACTATGCTTAAAGGATTTGTAAAGAGGTTTTCTGAACTTTTATATGTATTAGGGACACTGTTAGCATGAAGTTGCACCATTCCAATTTTCATTTAGACGTCAGTTGTTCTTACTATTCCACTAAAATTAGGTGTTTTAGTTAATTTACCCGAGGACTCTACCTGGGATAGCTTCATTATTAAACACTTAGTTTAAATGAAATCGCAAGATTCAAAAATTCGGACTGAAAATTAGAATAAATCAATACTATCAGTGTCCCCTATACATAAAAATTTTTTCTTAAACCTCATTACAATCCATCTTAAAACGCTTCTGTCTGAATTATGTATTAAAGGTAAACATAGTCATGTCAGTCAATTTTTTATTTCTAGTCAGACAAGATAGGTCAGTGATGGTTGTCTATCCCTTGATATGAACCATGATAATCATCAACCATTACTAGTCATAATGGCTACCTATTTTTCTAACTTGGGCCAAATTGAATTTTTTAGAATAAGATACTTTTAGTTTGCATAGAAATGCATGTAGAATGATTTGATAAAATATGTACTAAAGCTATTGATTTTGTATCCTAGCGCAAAGTTAGCTTCTAAATGTCAAATCTATTTTTGCTTGACATTTTCTTTAAGAAAGATTATGCTCTAATCTCCGGCAGATGTTTATTTTTTTAATTTGATTAAGTTTTTTTTAGTTTAAGTTGCTGATATTTAAAAATGCACATGGAATGAGTGAATTTTGAATTATAATCCTTTTATCAGAAAATTTTCAAGCACAAACAAGAATTTGATTTATTTAGAAAAAACCCAGAATTATTTGTCTCGAGCACCTGTTTTTATTTAAAATATCTGATTAATTTGCAGCATTCACTGATTTATTTCATTAATTTCATTTTGCTTAATTCTCATCTGTTGACCGACAATTTTAAAATTCACTGTGTGAAAGGTCTCTAAAAAGTTTATCACCAGTCATAACTTCATGTGTTTCAGATAATTTGTAAAATAAATCTTGAGCTTAAGACTGATAATTGCATCATTATTCTCAGATTCTTTCCAAATTAAATTACTTTTTCAAGATTCCATTTTGTAGAATCACACTTTTGAAAGAAAATTTCAAAATTTTTAATTATTGTTGAAAAACGGGATGGATCCTAAATTGAAAAAAAACCCTCAAGCTTAGAAAAGATATTAGACTAGATATTATAAGGATATATATTCATTAGATTGTTGTATAATTTCTCTATATTTAGTATTTTATGCTCTGAAGTTGATGTTCTATTGTATCATGCCATAATCTTTATAATATAATTAAACCAACTTGATATCTGAAGGGTATATTAGTCAGATTCAACATCTATCCTTTGATCAATCGTTTTGAAATCGGTATTCCTCTCACTAATTTTGGTGAAGGTTTCTCGACCCGCAAGATTTTGATTCAAAAATCAAAAAGGTCACCAAATTTGAAGAATTTTTCACTAGAGCTGGTCTAATGCTGCGAACTATGTTTGTGATGAATGATCCTCATCATGACAGTTGATTTTGGAAATAGTATTTATATATAAAAATCACTGATGGTTGGACTAAACAATGAAAGTTCAAGGTTGGCTATTAGTCTTAAATGACCATAGTCAAGGGTTAGGTGTGTAACTGACTAAAGTTCCTTTGAGACATCATGGTGCTAACCAACAGGTGCTTGTACCAAGCAGGTACTTGTTATCATATAGTCTCTGTTTCTATATAGTCTCTACTGTTATTTATTACAGATCTATGATGCCAGTGATTTTACTCTGTTATGTTCTGAATCCAGTCGTGTTGGAGAAAGATGGAGTGGAGGAGATTTTGTTAGTATTGATAGAGTTTTAGTCTGGAGTAACGAAGGCAAGGGATATTTATTCAAATTGCCCACAAAGTATGTACCTTTCTTTTATTCATTTCAATATTTTGACCAATCCTTGCCCCATTCTTTTTCTGTGACTTCTTGTGAAGCTTTTGTAAGTCTTTATTTCTTTTACTATGATGCATTGTTTTTTCTGTGAAATTAGGAACTAAGCATTGCTTTCTCTTTATCAGTTGAACTCAGTTTATAACCATTAACACCTGTCACAATTTAACATCAGTTCCTAGTTTCATTAGAGATGGAGGGGTACAGATAGTCAAGATATTTTATCATATAAAACTAACTAAAGATATCTCACTGATAGAATCTGTCCAATTCTTTAACTTCAAGTCATTTGAAATAGTGTGTGAAGTAATCTATCTGTAGTATTTCTCTTGAAATTAGTTAATTTTTCTAAATTGCCAAAATCATCTTAAATGATTGAGATAAATCTAATGCTTTTTTTAAAGTTTGATTGGCTTCTAGTGGTAATCATTTGTAGATTTGTCCTCTTTTTTTGATAACTAGATTTTGTAGGATTTTTTAATATTATATTTTGTCAATCATTGGGACACATAAATTTTGGTTGCTATTTTATAGCTTTTTTTTCTGTGAAGAAAGTTAGGTCATTTCCCACCTAAGCCCATAGTACCTTTCATTGTTAGTTCTAATAGTAGATATAGCCTAGAAACTATAAAGTATCCTTATGTAATACAATTTTTAGAATCCAAGAAAAGATCACCCATTTTTAGAATCTGAGATTGATGTATAGATCACCCATGAGCACAGTAAACTCCCTTTGTTGTAGATATATAGATGTTATTCAGAATGGCAATAAGCATTATCAGAAGCACTGGCCATGGTCTTTAAAATATATATTTCACACTGATCAGTATAATTCAAACCTTTTACTTAAAACCCAACATATACAAATTTTCGTCATCTGATTGGTCAAAATTGATTAGATTTCTTTTATCAACCAATCAGATCACTGATTTTGAATTTGAATTTTAAGCTGAGTTTGTGAAACAAAGTAACTGACTATTTTCAGTGTTTTCCTTTCATCAAGACTGAAATCTGTTCCTATCCAAACCTTACCCCAACTCATTCTTCCATCTTTAATTATGTCAACCTCTCATTTGCATGTAGTAATTTTAAGTCTACGGTATTTGGAAAAGTTATATTTAGGAATATGCCAAGTCTGTTGCAATATTTGTGCACTGGGAAGGACTTGTTTCCAGTTTTCCTAATGTCGAAACAAAATATTGACATCAACTTTAGAAAAGATTTTTTAGGAACAATTGTTATCTTAATTTGTTGCATAAAAATAAACTTATTATGTATTATTGGAGGCCTATCAGAAATATCATTACTTTATATAATCAAAACTCATTAATTTGACAAATTCTGATTGGACAATCATTTTCATGTAGGCCTGTAACCTCTTTCTAAGATCTGAAAAATATTTGGCATCATGCAAATTTTGACAATCTGTTTGACCTGTTTCTGGCTTTAAAACACAGCAATGGTTTGTTTCATTGAAACACCTTTAAGAAATGGACTATTTTATCTTTTGACTATCATTGATATTTGGTAATATTATTGGCATTTTGATCTAAATTTCGTTCCAAACCTGCAACAAAATTGCCAAATTGTGATTAAGATATTCGTCTGATTCAGCTTGCTAAAAGGAAAGGCTGTAAATGGGTAAGAAAATGATATTTTTGTGCACTGGTTTTAGTTACTAGATAGTAGATAGTTCATCTTTTATTTCCTGCATGTAACACATGGTTTTCACAATCACTTCACCCACTTACTGAAAAATTGGTTGATCTAACTTGTTAAATGGAAATATTTCTAGACCGTCTACTATAGAAAATAGTGATGTTCTTTTGGTAAAATATATTGCCATGAAAGAGAAAATTGATTAGCTTGATGTTATTTGACTGTCTTGGAGATCAAAAAACCTTGCTAAAATACTACAAGCCACAAGCCAACAGAGCAAGAGAAATAATTGATTTATAACAGTCTTCCTCTTTTGTGTCAGTAAAAAATGAAATATATTAAGACAATAGTTTTGAAATCATGTGTGTCCTTAATTTTCTTCTCAGTAGAATTCTGTATTGTGCGTGCTTCTTCCCAATAGTTGCTTCATTTATATTAAGACTTTGCTGAATATGAATCCATTTTAACCTTATATTTACTTTAACGAATATTTTTTTAAGTAAATCTATGAAAATGAAGTCTCTTAGTTCTGAATTAATTGTGTATCTCTCAAACATTGCTTTTTAGCGCATAGAAAACAATAATGCTTCTGACTCTTGCTATATAGTTTCTCTAATTAATTCATAAAAATAACAGGTCAACAAATCATAAAGGGTTATTACATTTAACTATTAATTGTATTGAATCTTTATGGTCTTCAAATTAAAGGCCCCTCGAAAACCAAAATGCTGTTCATAGTCATGATATTTCTAAGACAATCAAAGAATGCAAAGAGCAATCTCAAGGATCATATCTTGTGTATCTAACAAAATTGTAGCCAAGATGAAATAGCTCAAACCCGTCCTGTGCGAAGCTTTAGATTGAATGGCGGACCAGTTTAAGATAGAAGTCTGATCAAAATGAAGGACATATTTGTCTTTTCCTTACAAGCATTCATGTTATTCTTTGAAAAGTGACATGAAAGTTGCTGTACAGCTATTATGAAGCCTTGACATTACTGTGAAACCCTACTTAACCGGCAACCCACTTAATGTACTATTTAATGCTTTTGCAAGTTTCAATTGCCTCTTCTTAATGCTGATTTCAATACATTATCTGTTTTCATACACTGTATTATGAAATCATTCATAACGTAAGTTATTTAGCATGAGAATACCAAGCCTAAAAAAATACTTTTATTTTGGCATCTTCAATCCAAAAATGACTAATATGCAATTTGAGATTGATTCTGTTTTGAAATTGCAGTTCCAGTCTGACATGACTGTGGTAAAAATAGGTGGCAGACAGACTGAAATTCCGCCTTTGTACCTCCATTGTCTTGTGTTGTTTGATCAAAAGCCAACATTAAAAATAATGCGATGGCTAACTCATTCTCGGGCATTTGAGCTGCCCAGATGTTCAAGCTAAGCAAACATAGCCAGATGAAGTGCTTAGTCAAGATACAAAGTTAGGTTTGGTATTACCTATGAGAGATGAAGATTTATTTGTGACAGACCCTTTAAATAGCATGGAGTTTTGGTTTAACCATTAAGATATATGATACCATTACCTGATGTAAGGCTGCCAGAAACCTTTTCCTGTTGGTAACAAATTTATGGAGTCTCCCTCCCCCTTGTTTTTGTACCTGTTTCATTTTCAGTTCCTGTTCCCTTTGGTGGTGGTTAACATTTTACCTGGTTGTTAATTGTGATCTTACATTTTACTTATTTTTGTTTAATTAAAATCACATTGAATATTTGTACACTTTTGGTTTAAAGCTTATAAATTTGAATTTAACTACCCTTATTATATAACATTGTATATTTGTATACTCTTGGTTTCAGTGTGCATTCTGAATTGTGCTAGATAAATAATATGATTTAGATATTTTGAATATACAGATCTTCATGATGCAACGTTCAAATCTTCATTAAAGTGCTCATCTAATCAGAAATAAGCACTTTCATCATCTTTAGTTGTGTTTTGGAGAAACTGGCCCTTTTTTCATTCAAATCTGTAATTTGTTATTGTATTCTTAGTTTAAACCTTTTCTGATTTACATATTCTGATACTTTGTCACAATATAACATTATTTGCTTGTATATTGCATATAATGTATAATATGATATTGTATATTATGTATTGTATAATATGATATTGTATATTATATATTATTGTATAGTATGAGATTGTATATTATTCAGTGCTGACCCTAGAAGTAGTGAATACAGACATCATCAACCAACCAGCCCTCATGCTTACTATGTTTTAGATATTTATACTGAAAAGGTAAGTTTCAGAATCCTAATTTTTATTGACAGTGTTTCAGTTGAAAGCCTTTAGGAATTCTAATGTATTGGTTTTAATATGATACCATATCTCAATTGTTGTATCTTCCTATCAAAAATTTGATCTCTGCAACTAGCCAGTTATTTACAGTTACCAGTAGTCATATATTAATATGTTGATAATAAGCGTGGAATCAACTGATGGCATCTAATCTTTGAATATGAAATTCTCCACAATTGTACATCACTATATCTTTTGATAATAACATCATTCGATGGCCAGTAATATTATATCTTTATTGTATATTATTTTACTTCTATATTATTTATTATGACTTATTACATATTTTAAAAGTATGTCCATATATTATAGCCATTGGTATGTACCCCAGCTATGACGTACTGTAAGAGTGTAAATGGAAGGAAGAATTTACTACGTGGTGACAGTGAGGGTAAAGTTATAATATGGACACTACCTGAGGTCTCGGAGAAACAAATGACTCTAGTTAGACAAGAAAGCTTTGATAGGCTTCCAGGTATATATAACTCTCTTTTAGCAGTTGGAGGTGTTATTTTCTTCATAACTTGCTTCTATTCACTAGTACCTGCTGATCAATTGTAATACACAGTACTTCACCATACAATATAATCTTACATCACTGATGATATCTGATGAAATATATAGTTTTCACTGTTAATTTGGTTATTATGATATTAGTGATGGTTGGATATATTGAAGAAAAAATCATTGATTCTTATATTTGAGCATAAAAAAATTTAACTGGAAAAAAATGATTCTTTTTCTACTTTCTGAAAACAAGTGCTGATTGTGAAAAGCACCAATTATGATAAGTGGCCTATCAGTCTAGTTTAACATATCTTATTCGGCACACCCCGTGGAATCTGTTACTCGTAAGAATGATATCAGTTAGAATAGATCTTTAACTATTTAACTTGATAGCTTCTGAAGTTTCATCATTTACATAATTTATTATATTAGTTAAATTAAGAAACAATAGTTTTATGGATATAGACTTCTATTCATTATTCAAATACATCATCATCTATCATAGATAATACCAAATCTCATTTATAGCTTCTGTTATCATTGATATACCTACTACTCTTCTAAATTTAAATCTTCTGTAATTTCACAAATGTTCAAATAAAATTATAGGCTATGAGTGCCGTTTTTTTCATCTACAGAAAGATAATTTTCCCTTTGAACACATTTTATTCCACATCGCATTGCCTCTATCAGAATATGATTGGTTTTGTTCCAGCTCTATCACCACGTACCAGTACTACATTACAAGATGTATGGGATAGTTTATATAAATACCCAGCTGGTATACTAGAAGACTTGGTATGTATTACCCTATTACTGAACTAACTCGACAATCTTCAGAATATTCTTATCATAGTCATAAACACTGGACAAACATCATATAGTATATATATTCACCTGTTATAGTTGATATTTGATTATCAGACATATTGTTAGTTTGGATTTTTGTTTTCCCTTTTAAGACTGAAAAAGATGTCTGAATGACTGTTATTATAATCTACCTGACATAGTGAAAGAAAGCAAACTTGCACTCATTCTGAAAAGCTAGACAAACAAGTGCAATGAAACTAGTAAAGCAGATTGGTTAAGCAAATCTATTCATTGTTAAAAATTACATTAAGAAGGAATAATGTGTTCAATGAAAAAGATTAACTGCAGAACTGTATACATTTTTGTCATTATAATGAAAAAATTAAAAGAAATCTATTGTGTTGAGAGGTCATAATAACCTTTCTTCATTGTTACAGATCTTTTGAAATTATTGTCTTACTTGGTTGTGTAATTTTAAAGGGATTCTAAAAAGATTTTTCAATCTATTTATGACTATTGATTTGCACCATTGCACATCATGTCATGTAATTCTACTAGAAAAATACATGTTTTATGATTTCACTATCTCCAAGGCAGCTAATAATTTTTCATTTTTATTTCGCAAAAAGTGTCTTTCATATTCTTGTTTCTGAAGAAAGTATTTATCAAAATATTAAAAAGATATAACAGATGATGGAACTAATAAAGATATAAGAGATCATATCTAATAAAGATATAAGAGATCATATCTAATATATATAAGATATAAGAGATCATATCTAATAAAGATATAAGTTTATTGAGGACTGTATTTTAGATTGTTAAATTGTATATGTTTGAAAACTTAAATCTTATCATAGTGATCATTGTTCAGATCAAAGAATATATGGACACTCTCAATAGAAAAAATATGTAATTTAACATATCTAATGGCCCTGTCACACCTTAAGGTATAGCATCTGCATTTCTATAGCATATAAAAGACCCAGAAATTAGTCCCATACGCTTGCAACTGTTCAATGAATAAGCAACCGACCTGATTTCTGTGCCAAACAAATGTAGTATGCAGCGTGTTATAATATAAAAAGTGGCATCTGCTGATGCTATACGTTGATGTCAAAGAACAATAACTCTATATTTCAGTGTACAGATGATGAGAATGAACTACGTATAACATCTACTATCTATATACCATCACAAGGTAAAATAGTATGTGGTCGACAGAATGGTAGTTTAGTTATTGTACCAGCTACTCAGAGTATTATATTTCAACTACTAGAAACTCACTTTATTACTAAAGATTGTAAGTTTCTTCCATCTTTCTTTATCTTTTTCATTGGCTTCTTTAGCAAATTTTCCTGTTCTCATTTTCCTAAACATGTGCAGAAAGTGGGGGTGTGAGATTTCATCCTCTGTAATAAATTTGTATGTCATATGGATAAAACTGGAATATGTTATATCCATCAAAATAAAACATTCCTAAGATATAAGTTGATAAAAGTACAACAATGGAGCACCAACTGAAATAAACTCTCGAGTTAGGTTATGTTAGGCCATACTAAATAAATTGTGTGTTTTAGATTTGTGGAGCTTTCTCTCCCACCGATTTATTCCAGTTGAAAATCTTAAAAAGCAATGAATAATAAATTCGCCTTCTCGGTCAAATTTTGGAAAAAAAAGGCCTGCTATTTATTTTGTATGGCCTTAGGTGTCAGAAAAGATGGCTGTAAAGAACCTTGGGAACTGAAGTTGATAACATAGTAAAATTCTATTCTTGATTTCAATAAATAGAAATATAACTTAATTTATATGGTTTATTTATTTTCAGCTATTTCCAAACAGATATTAGAGGGTCATGATGGAAGAGTAACTTGTTTATTATACCCCTTTAATGAGAGTACTAGATATGAACCACAACATTTACTGTCAGGGGGTGCTGATTTCTCAGTAATATTATGGGATATATATTCAGGGTATAAGATACATACCTTCACAGTACATGGTGGAGAGTTGACACAGATGACTGTTCCTCCGTCTAATTGTAATGTAAGTGATGATTTTGTTTAGTATTTAAGCTTTATCAGAAAGACTACTTGCTGACAGAAATTTTGAGAGTATTTGAGTGAGAATGAGAAAGAAACTGTCTAATTGTTTATTATGACACTGATTTATATATAACAATACATTTTATTAGAAATGGTCCTGTTACCCAATCTAGTCTGCAATGACAATTAACATGTACTAAAAATGGCTATTTTGGAATTTTTGATTTACAAGGTTAGGTACATAATTATCTTGCTATAAGAGAGGTTATACCATATTTAACTTTTAACTTTAAATTTGGTAGAATGTAACATTTTACGTTCCCCATCTCTAGTTGTGTTATTGAAAAATTCATGCATAAAACTTGATTCTATATTTGATTGTTACAGGTCATCTAGATAGAGTGGTACAAGGTATAACAGCTGAAGAAATCCTGAATAACTGTGATGAGAACGCTACACCCATGGAGAACCTCACTAACCCTAGTCTAACATTAGCACAAGCCTTCAGACGTAGAAACTTTGCAACATTTCGTAATCTAGCTCAACAGAGATTACAAGCTAGTCAACATCAACAACAGACCAGTCAGGGCCCCAAGTCAGAGTTTGTAAAACCAACTGGTTATCCTATGTTAATACAGGGTGTTAGAACTAATACTAGAGACTCTGATTCTCATGTTTTATTCTTCGATACTGAATCTCTAATAGGTAAGATTTCATTTAGTGATAGTATTAACAGTTACTTTCTGTTGAGGCATCAAGATCCTCGTTGGTTTGATCAAGTGTTTATGGTTTTTTCTCTCTGAATACATTGAAATTAGTATTGAATTTTTTCTCTCATTTCATAAATATTCAAAAAAAATATTCTCTACAGTTTGCCATTTTTCTTAAAATGTCTTTGAGTCCATAGAAATATAAATGATATTACATGAAAGACACACTATGAAAATGACCCTATTTTTGGACTGAAAATTCACCTTTGTAAAATCATGGTTTAATAACTTTTCGAGTGGTTAACATTTTCATCCACGCAAAGACAATCCAAGACTCTCAGTAGTATTTTGTAATGAGATTTTAATTCATGCGAAATTGATTGCTAAAATTCAATACAGTAAACAATGTAGACAGAGAGAAATGTTTTTGTTTAACCACCCAGGACTTCTACTCAAACCCCTCCACAGATTTTGTTTCAGAAAACAATTAGACTTTCCTTTCATTTCAACTTTTAATTTGTATTTGACCAGTATTTTGAAAGTACAGTTATATATCCTCGCTTTTGGCTATCTTGCTATCTCAAGATATTTTTATCGTATTCAGTTTTCCTTTCCCTGCCTCATATTTGATAATTTGTGATTTTGTTACTTTGATATTTTAAAGCACAACCCCATGCAGCTTTTTTACTAATTTTATTGTGAAAGTTTGTAGTCTTTATATCTCTTATGATTTCATTACTAAAAGGGATATACCAGTAGTTGTCTAGATATTTTCTCTACTAGGTAATAAATATCAATGACATTAATTCATTAAACTTTTCAGAATTCAAAGTAGACATCTAGTTCTCGTGCAGTTTAATGAAATGTATCATGGATGTTTCTAGACTCTCATTACTTCAGTCACATGAAATTATTACAACTATATCATTGATCATAGCTATTTCTTTTTAATAAGAATTTTTTTTATTCTCTATGCATTTCTACCCCTACTATTTATGTTTTGTTTGGTGATGGTTGATTATTTCCCCTACAGTTCAGTTATTAACAGAAGAGTTTGCTATGTTATCACCTGGAGAACTAGAAGCGAGAGGATTTTTAACACCTGTAGCTGACAGAGTGGCAGGCTATCAACCTGAAATTAGTGATGCTCAACAAAAAATAGCAGGTAATGTCTTGAGAAATAAGGTAGATAGATCTAGGAAAAATTCCAGTTTTCATCTGAAAGCCCTAGATATGGAATCAGGAACTTTTATTACCTCTATAGAAATTCCAACCTGTGACCCATCTAATGGTTTAGCAGATGACAACTTAACATTCACCAACAGAGTTTGCTCAGAGTGGATTATGAACTATTTTTTGGATTTAGATCTATTTTGCACTGAAAAATGCGTAATAGATGTCAGAGAATCAGAGTCAGACTCAGAGAACTACTGTGTAATTCTATAACCGATTTTGTGATCAACATTCCAACCATGCTTATTGATAGTCTGCTTTATTTCCAGGTTTGATAGCAAAAGCAAAAGAAAAAGCTGATACATTGGGTCAAAAAATACAAGACAAGGTACAGACGGCTGGTCTAGGATTAAACAAAGAATCTTCCTCTTCTCAGAAAGGTTTTAATTTTAACAACTCAGCCTCCACAGATGATATGACCAAACCAGAATCTCTTCCATTCCAGGAGAATATGACAATGCAGATAGCCCAGATTTTTATGTCTTGTCTCCATGCTTGGGGTCTAGATCCAGACTTAGACAAGCTATGCCTGAATAAACTTGGTCTTTTAAAACCACAATGTCCCATTTCGTTTGGGCTCTTATCGAGACAGGGGCACATGTCCCTCATGCTGCCAGGCTGGCATAAACGTGTTTGTCAGAATGAATTGGCTGATTTAAAAGGAACATGTGCTGGACGACCTAAGCTCAGTGAAGCTAAGAGTGTATCATTCGCTGAACCAGATCCAGTGCCGAGTTCGTCCACCCCAGCTAAGCCCACTCTACTGGCTCAGAGAACTGGTAGTATACCATTTGATGATGAAGAACTATACAGTAGTGATGAAAATCAGAATGCAGGAGGTAAAGATGAGGTATTTGATAAAGGTGTATCTGATAAGAATGCTACAGCTTTACAACAAGAAACTGGTAAGTATTAAATGAGTTTCAATCAGTATTGTACATGATTATTCTTCAAGTTGATAGTTGAGACAAGATTAACATGAAATGTTGAAATGTTACAAGTTATTTATGAAAGTAACGGTTATTCCAATATTTGGGTCCAGTTACATAGCCAAAGTAATTGATAATTCAAATATTTAGTCTATTTCAGCTTAAGAAACCAAAGTTTATCTCATAAAATAATGATATTATGATATTATATGATATGAAAAATTAAGAACTTTATTGCATTTTATTTTTATTATAGAAATATTTTCAACCAAGGCAAGATGGCAGATATCTAGTGCTGTAACAACTCAACATTTATTAAGTGTAATATCTGTAGCTAATACCATGATGAGTATGAGTTGTGCCAGTTTTCTCATGAAAATTAAAAGAATATCAAAAAGGTAAGGACTTTGACTTTTGTAAAGTTAATTGATGTGTGAAATAGATGATTATAAACCTGTTTTCAGTTCAATTTTAGAAGAAATTAGGTTGTTTAAAAAGCCAATATGCTCTGCAATGTTGCATGTTTGCAATTTTCTAACAGCTTTTAATTTTATCAGAATGTTTACATTGATATGTCTACAGGAAACAGCGTGGAAGTATAGCAGGAACTAGTTTATCGTCAGGAGAAGACGAAGATCAACAAGTTATGCAGCAGGCTCAGATTAAACAGGGTTGGAGTTTATTAGCTGCCTTACATTGTGTATTATTACCAGAGTTGGTGGGCGCTAATCATTATGAACCACCACAGTTAGAAATGTTAGCTAGAAGATGGCAAGATAGATGTCTGGAGGTAAACACTGTTATCAGATATGCCATGGAAGGCTGAGAAGTTTGTGAACTGATGTAGATATTATATATGACTCTATGATTTGATATCATCTCAACTCTCATTATTGTAAAGCCAATCATGTACTTTCTTATCTTACTTGACCTTTATTCAGTTCACAGCTTTCAACGGTTTGAATGTGACTCTCTTTAGTATACAAACAAAGATGGCATCAGATGGGTTCACATGGCCTATAAAATTATAATACGATAAACAATAGGTAGTTCATTCTTGAAATCAAATCATACATGTGGCTGAACTTATGCTCACTGAATTGCCTATCATGTCATTCCTATATGAGAACCATGATCTAAATTACTCCATTTTTTTTGATAGATTCGTGAAGCAGGACAAGCTTTATTACTAGCTGAACTGCGTAGAATTGGTATTGAGGGTCGTAAAGCTATAGTAGATGATTGGTCACCTTTCCTACCAATGTATGTTGATCCTAATCATAGTCTATTGAGTGATGCTCAACGTGGAGATGATGAGGATGATGATGAAGATGATGAACAAATGTTGGCAGGTGGGCTATGTGAAATGTTAACAAGTCATTGTTAGAATATTTTTAGGACAATTTATAAGAATGATTGAGATGTAAACTTTGAAACCATACTAGTAACCTAATATTGGATCTTTGAAAACTAAAAACTGTCTTTATATTCGATCTTTGAATGGCATTTAGTAATGGTGTTGGATATAATGAAAAAATTCTTATGGATTATAATTACTAACTTTATTTGAGAAACGTTTCGACCAGTGTTCTCATTCATTGCTTGATAAAAACCAGAGAACACTGGTCGAAACGTCGCTCAAATAAAGTTAGTAATTGTAATCCATAAGAATTTTTTCATTATGTCTTCATATTCATTGTCAAAATCCTTTACTATTCTGAATTTATTAGATTGATGTATTTCAAGTACGTTTTCTCCATAATGAAATTGGTTTGATGGAATGGATAGTTATCACTATGCATTCTGGGTATCTTCCATTTGAAAATTATTACAAGCAATCGGCAACCTAAATTTATCTTCCTCATTTAACAAATTTGAGTAAGTTTTTAACGTAATAACAACTGTCAGTTAGAATTTTAATGGTTTTGAATTTTCCAGGAGACCTACCACCACATAAAGTATCTATATCATTTGAGAGTCGTAGAAAACAGGCTACAGCTATAGTGATGTTAGGGGTTGTAGGAGCTGAATTTGGTCATGAGATAGAACCAAGTAGACGTAAGGTGGAGGAGACTAATAAGAAAGGAAGTAGAAAACCACAAGAAGGATTTAGTCTTACCAACTATTCTCTTTCTAGACATACCAGTAAGTTCAAACTTATCAGTTCTTATACACCCTTCTCCCAAAAATGGATAAGTCCATAAATATTTGCTCATTATCTTATTTAAACCTAATTTTTCTGTAAAAAATGATGATGATGATAAAATTGTCGGATTCAACCAAGATCATTTGAAAATCAATCTGATAAAACTAAATGAGATAAATTTTAGACTCAAGTGCAAGTTCTAAGAATTAGATTTTTTATCCCTCCCCCTGTCTTGTACTCCTTTCCTGACAGTGAACATATATTTTGAATATATTGATCAAACAAATTTTAGAATTTGAGCATCTTTAAGATCCCTAGTGGCTATATTGTATAATGATTGTCTTACATGACATTCATTCATCTCTCTTTTAGGTAAAGCCCTGACATTCCTATTGTTAACACCACCGAACTCCCGTCTGCCAGCTCATACACCAATACGTCGTGCTGCTATAGATTTAATAGGGCGTGGGTTTACTGTATGGGAACCTTATCTAGATGTATCAGCTGTATTACTGGGATTATTAGAACTCTGTATTGATGCTGATATTCTAGTTCCAAGGTAATGTAATTTGGTAATTATAGTGGAAACCATGTCAGGTTAATTCAAATTATCACAAATAGTACTTACGTTTTCTTTTGAGATTTTTAATTTGACCATTTGAAACCATATCAAACTTGGATTTAGAAGTGTGTAATTGTGTACTTAACATAATGTGCATTACTGTTTATTTGGTATATTTATTACATATAAATAGGCCTATGCTTGCAGCTGATCATGATTGTTGCAGGACACATAACCAATGTTGCCTTTTGATATTTCAGTATGACATATGGTTTACCATTATCTCCTGCAGCTGATGCTGCTCGAACAGCAAGACATGCATTAACATTGATAGCTACAGCAAGACCAGCTGCTTTTATTATCACCATGGCTAAAGAGGTGGCTAGATATAATGCCCAGGCTCAGAATGCCCAGTCACAACACACACATCTTCAGAATCTAGTCCTAGTACGAGCCAGACATGAAATACAACACATTCTAGAACTAATGGTGGAGAAGATGCCCAATGAAATAGCTGATATTTTTGTAGAGGTAAAGAATTAAATTTGAAATAGAGATATAATGATGCCTTATTTATCTTTCTCAATTTAAATTGGCATATACAACTGCTTTTGATCTATTCATTGAAAGCTGATCTCGGGCCTATACCTGGAATATTTTTTACCTTGAAGTGGATAAAAACCACAGCACCTCCTCACTTAGCAGACAAATCTTACCCGCTATAAACTAAACTATGCAACTGCCACTGTTATTAGGGTATCAGTGATGAAACCTCTTAGATGCCTTTTGTCAAAGTGAAATCCTACTTTTGTTGGCCATTGGAATGATGAATATTGAGAAATTGATAGAATATATCTGATTACCTTTTCTTCTCTTATAGACTGTAGATGTTGTGGTCCATTGTTTAGATATGGCTCAATTAAAATCAAAAGGGTTACAAGAGTTATTTCCTGCTATTTGTAGGTAAGAAGTGTGTATTTTTGAAACTTGTTAATTCTTACTACTAATTATTTTTCTGCTCCACTTACCTCAATATATTTGATCATATAGGTTCCAGTATTGATTTTATTATGTATTTTTTTGGAATTAGTATAGACATGAGCAATCTTTTTAATATTTAGGTAGAATAATTAGAAATATATAAAACAAGATGTATATTCTGTTCATAACTACTTACACCATCTCAAATTTAAATGAACTGATTGTGTTGATGTTATGAATGGAATCTAGATGTGTTAATTGCTCAACAATAACAAAGTTTTGAGAATGTCACTATTAGTGCAAAGTGTACAATCAGTTTCTTATTTTATAATTCAGGTTTAGTATGGTGTCTCACTGTAGTCAAACTAAACGAATCTGGGTAGGAGCTAAAAATGGTAATTTAGCATTATATGAAATGAAACAACATTCTAAATGTCAGGTAAGCTATAAAAGTAATAGTTGGTGAATGTAAATTTAAGAGTAAAAAGAATCACCAATGTATCACAATTTTTGCAGATAACTACATAGATTTAAGTACCTCAGCTTATACAAATACAGAACATTTTGTGAATTATGTTCGTTTAAGCTATGGCATAGTATACATAAAGAAAACTTTAATCCATTTGATCTCTCCAGTTTCATTATAATTTTAAGGGAACCTATAATTTAATACTATATTTTCTACAAATAGGAAATCAAACAGCAGCTGAATATATATATATATGCTTGTCTACTTTTCTCTAAAGAGGTAAACTAAAGATGGATGTAAAACTTAGTGTTATTGCTATATTGTATCTTTTATAGTTGATCCCAGCTCATCAAGGTCCTATTATAGCAGTCAGTATCAATCCAGATGGAAAATATCTCTGTACATTTTCACATGTTGACTGTAAACTCAAATTCTGGCAGGTAAGATCCAGATTCCATTGCTAACAAATCGGTTCATTTGTGTGGCTTTCAAGACCAGAGTGGAATCATCGCAGGATAAATAGGACTCCCATGGAAAATAACTATAGAATGACAATGCTATGATTGGAATATCACCACTGTTGGCTGCAAATTTCTCTAGTTGTGTTTTCAGTCTTGTAAAAACTTTTGAATTAGTAGTCTAGGAAAGCACATAAGTATGTGACTTGAACATGCAGTCATTAGAAAAACGTTAAAAAAAGTGGGAAATTTACATCAGATCATATGGCTAATGGCTTTATTCTATATTTCAGACAGCCTCATCTTCTATATTTGGTATTGGATCTCAACAAACTAAGTGTATACGTCAATATTCAGTACAACCCATTCCAGTTACACCATTAACTAATATTCTGAAACTGGTTAGACTAGTATGGATTGACAATAAAACAGTTGTTTTACTGACTGTAGAAGGCAAAGAAACCAAATTTTCAGTATAAACTAGTATGTGGAACTGTTAAAATGGCATTCCATTGTAGGCAAAATATCTTTTTTTTTTAAAAAGGAACTTGTTTCAAGAAGTTTTCTATAGAAACCAGAATAGAGTACTAAACATGGTGCAAAAAACAGAGTGCTGGAGTGATATTCTGCAGTATGTGCCACAAACAATATAATTGGCCGTAGTTTTGTGTATGAAAAGCATGATAATATCAAACAGACTGAAACATATTTTGATTGCTAATTAATTTTTTAATGAGTGCTAGAACTGCTGGTAAAATGGCATTAATACTTCTACTTTGTAAAACACCATGTCACCATCTCAATGAACAAGTTGTTATATTTAATATACAGTTGTTAATATATATATAACTGTTAAGTCCAGTCTAATTCAAATTAGACCTAACTTCTGTTCATATTTTATTAGTTTCAAATGTTTTATCAGCTATTATCAAATCCGCTAGTCTAATATGCCTCGGAATTCATCTATTGTTCGTGTCACATTATCCCATTGCTGGAAAGAGCAGAGATCAAGCAAAGGTTAACAGAATGAAAAGTCAAGAAGGACACTGTTAGGCTTACTGTAGTGTTTACCTACTAAGCTAATGGCTAATAAAACATTCGAAACGAAACTAATGAAAACGAACTGGAGTAGGTCTAATTTTAATTAGACTGCTGTTAAGTCAATGACATAACTTAGCTCTGTGTTGTGATGAAATGCCATAAAGTTTAACTATAAGTCAAGCTAAGTGCACATCAAAGTATGATTCAAAATATTTATCATACCTTAACTATGTTTAAAATGGCTTTTCACAAATATCTTGACGCCATATTTTCTGGATGTACAATATTATTGTAATTGATGCCAGTGTTATTTATTCTAGTCTATATATTAAATGAATGTGTATGTTTGAACTCAGATGATTGTTGATTTACTGTGATATTGTTCATTTTGTATATTTAAGATATGTTGAGTAGCTTACTGGTGAATGTGAATATTTAAGGAACATTATTTAACTGTTATTTTTACTAATGATATGAAACTGATATTTATTAGATAGCCACTTCTCTATCTTTATACCTATGTATACTCACAACATATTGAATGAGTTTTGTAATAAATAATGTTATAATAACATTCCTACCCTATCCTTACACTTCTATTTGTGAAGCAGATTGTAAACACCATTTGTTTATGGTTAAAATTTACGAAACATTTAATTTTGAAAAAGAAACATTTGCCATGAGGCGTTCCACTTAAGTGTTAAGGCTCGCTAGTTAAAAAAACCTAACTCAACCCGTTTCTTGACCAAGCTTTATTTATCAATTTTGCCAACTGTTCTAGATTATATTAATGTAGTTTTGTAGATTTAATTCAATAAAGGGTAACTTTAGTAACATACAGTCACAGTATGAAAATCATCTGTCATATACATGTACTGACAATGTGAACTGACTAAATAAAGATTATTGTTATGTTTTGTATTCATTATGTATCTATTATTATTACTGGTATAATAAACTTTTTATAGAACCTTTCTTGTTTTCCTTTTGAAGAGGTTTTTTGGAAATCATATAGCCATGACCAACAATCCATATAAAATTAGGGCTATTATCATAAATAATTTTAAAGGTTTATTCCAATTTCCAATGTCAACAGGTTAATATTGTATGTAAAGAATACTTTATGGCATAAAGGGAAAACTAGGGTTAAGAAAACTGAAACCTTGGCTGTTTAAATGTGTTTCCAGTAGGTTTGTCCACTTTTTACCTCAAAATGCATATAATGATATCAAATTTATAATATCATTGAATCACTACCCAGAGTAGTCCTGGCCTATTAGGTTATGCCTATGCAACGTTATCAGCTAAAAGCTGCACTTATGATAAGGATATACGTTGTTCCAAATGGTCTAGAATAAAAAATAACTCAGAATACTATTAAAATGAACGTTGCAATGCATAGAGAATAATGCATTTTATTATATCGACAACCGATCACATTTCATCAACGGCTCTCTAATGTTTGGTCACGTGATAACACCTGCCAACGAGAAGTAACTCGTACGAAACAGCTACTGTGATTGGTTAATCTCTCTGACTTTGACGAATCCAATTCGTTGTTATCATTTCTTATCAAAGATGGCTGCGATATAAACATTTTTCTTGCTTTTTCTACCTTCTATGTTTATTAATTCAAATAAAGCACATTATCGACAAAAGTAACACATAAAAATCAAGATTACTAGGCCATAATCTTTTCCTTTTAGTTTTGGCTTCAATGAATAAACTACAGCCAATTACTTACTGCATAGTCTGAACAAACTGATAATCTTTCACTTTTCCATACATTCATAATGCCAATGTACTGGCAGTACAATGACACTGTAACCGTAGGTAGTGAAGCCATGTGTTTGTGCGAGTAATCTAATGTGTAGGTTTATTTGACACATTTAAAGGCTTACATGTGACATTATTTACAGGAAATCATTAACATAACTGTATCATCTTTCCAGACTATTAGGTGAACTGTAAGAGTCAGTATGTCTCAGAGAGGACTAGAAGGAGAGGACCTGGAGAAAGGTTTACAGCAGCTAGTCAATAGTTTTGAAACTCATATCAGTGATCTAGAGTCACCAAGTCAAGTTAAAGATGTCTTGGTACAGTTAGAGAGAAATGATGAAAACTTTCACAAGTATGTTACTCTGATAGATCATAAACAATATCTTAGAAACTAAATCAAATACAATTATTTTGGACTCCCTAATTTAGTACCTATCAACCCTATGGATATATGTGTTTTAGTAGAACTAGAAACTATCCAATATCAAATAAACTTGTTGAATAGTGTCTTTAGATTAAGACAAATTTTTTCAAAATTGAGGTGGCCATTGCAGAAGTTTTGAATGTAAAAAAATATAAAATATTTTTAAACGTACAGTAGTTTGAAAGATCTACAAATAACTGTTATTCTGTTTTAGACATGAGTTTGTTAAACAGTTAAAATCTAGAATAGATGATGTATTACGACCATGTATTGATGAAGAAATAGAAAGAAATTCTACAGCAGGTCATGTACCTCTAGGTGGTTATGATGTAGAAAGATTGGTCAAACAGAGAACTGAGGCTATTATGAACTCAAAACAGTGAGTACCGTAATTTGATTTTGCTAAAGTCAAGTGTTTCTTTCATTTAATTAGAATGTAACTGTTTTTGACTAAGAAGCAATCAATTTCATGGAAAATTCTATGCTTAAATATGATGGATAAAGCTTAAAGAGATGTTAAGAGTTTTTAGTTATAAGCCTGGCGATCAAGATTCGTAGCTCTTTGTTTGAGAACACATTTTGTTAAAACATTGGCCAATTCTTCTGTGTTGAATACCGCAATGATTATCTTAACATATTTATATGATCATATTTACATGATTTTATAACACTGTGTTTCAGATATAAAGACTTTAAACAAGAATTAAACAGTAATATAAAGGAAGCAGTAGAACATCTGATAATAAATGATTCCACTCCATATGAAGATCATCCTACAGACAGACATGGTTTCCCTGGTAGTGATGATGAAGATTCATCTTCTTGTGGCAGTACATTCTGTCAGGTAAGAATCTGGGCAGAGTTTGGGAGGGCAAGGGAGATAAGGGGTGGGACTGGGTAGGTAAGATGGAGGCTGATTAAGTCAGAGATATGGTTTTCCTGGTAGTGAAGATAAGGATTCATCTTTCTGTGGCAGTACATCCTGTCAGGTAATATTCAGGGCAAGGGAAATACCATTGTCAGGTATTACTTAGGTGAGATTAACTGATTAAGGTCAAGTTTTTTAGACGTTGGGTTGATATCATTAAAGCAGAATTAACCTGTCACGGTGATACTGAAGATTCAGCTAATGACGATAAGAACATTTTCAAATCTTACTTTAATACAATTTGAGACTTTGAATGTTAGTGGATGTGATCTAGTGGCTCAAGTTAATTTCACATTGAAATCAAATCTGAAATCTGAAAGCATGCGTGAGAAGGTTCAGATATTAAGCACCTTGAAATATTCAAATGGGTAGATGGGTCATGAAAGATTTATGTTAACTAAGCTAATTATTGAATATAGGCGAGTAACCATACTATATTTTCAGGGAAGTGTTATGATGTTTGACCCTGATTCATTGAAGAAAATAGCAGACGATCTTTCTAAATCTAAATCATATCAGGTACAGACTCTATTTAGTATTCTAGCTGTGCAATTAAATGTTGCTTCAGAAATTATTTTAATCATATCTCTACAAATATTTCCAGCTAGTAGGCATTTATTTTGAATTTTTAGATAAAGTACTAATATGACATCATTCTATGTTTCTTCTTGAAAAAAGCATCAATAATAGGTACTTTCAATTATATTTTATTACCATAATCAAAATATTTTTGTTGTAATTGAAAATGTACTTCCTTCTGTTGAGAAAGCTATAATGGTTACGTAACTATAATAATAGATATATCGTATATATAATATAGATTTAAACAATCTATTATACCTTTGTTTTTAAGCAAAAACGAGATGCATTAGTGAAGTTAAACAGACATATGAGTGCTGATATAGTAAATAACAACAACTGGCATTATCTACGTAAACAACTATTGACTGTTCTCGGTGACCCTAATGATGAACTCACAGTAAGCTAGTTTACAAGTTTCTGCATTTTATATCCTATCTGTTATTCTAACAGTTCATATGCAGTTAGTTGTATAGCTTTGATAGATGATAATGACTATACAAGCCTGACAATATTCCAATTGATCTAACTGAATTCAATTGCTTAAAATGTTCTTTACTAAATATTTCATCATTATAGTTTTATGAACTTAAAACATTAAGTATGCAGAGAATTAGGACATAAAACTCCATTCATTTCATTTCATTTTTTAAAACATTGAGTAACTGACAAATGTTTAACATGTATGTATGATGGAATATTCTATTGTTTTTATTTTCAGCAACTAAGTCAGAAGTTTATAGCTAAAGCTTTTACCAGTACTTGTCATCAAACACGAGAGATATATACATTACTTAGTAAGTTATACGCCTCAACTACGATACCTTTGGAATCTACATTAAAACCTTGTTTTTTTTATCACAGATTGTTAAGAAAAAGAGAACCTATCTGATTAAAGTGTAAAATGTCATTTGAAACAAAATGGTAGAAAGGTGTCAAGTAGGTCCATCATGAATAAATATGAACAAATACCCCTATTTTTTTCCATGCTATGTATTGAATATTTGATGCATATGTAAAAATTTAGTAAATGAAATATTTTAAAAAATGATATTGCTGAAACATGGTTAAAATTATCACTGGATGTGGATAAGATTTCGTTAAGAATATTTACATTCATCTCTGAAAATCTTCAATGTATTATCCATATTGTTAACTCTCTTGTTTGTTTTATTTATTTTAATATTATATTTATGTTAATTGTTGGTTTATTACAGGTGAATATTTAGTTAACGAGTTTGAATATAGAGATACTGGTACTCAGTTATTAAGTCAAGGTTTAGATATAGACAGACCTGAACAATCTAAACTATTAAAAGCTGTAAGTAGATAACTTTGCTTGAAATATATTTATAAAGTTTATAAAACTACTTGTATGTGAACATAACATTAGGTTTTAGGGGGTAGAAGCTGACACTTGGTACACTCTCGGAAACATTGGCAAAAATATCAGAATTTGTCAAACTTTGAGGAGGATTTGAACCCACGGCACCTAATCGCCTAGCAGATGACAATCCAACTTGCTAACGAGCTATTCCACTACCAAAAAAAGACAGTTCTCTTAGCCAGCTATAGAGGATTATTGTGACTCAACAGACAATTTGCGTCATGTAAGATTTGTAAATACCGGCACTTTTAATTCACATTACATTACATAGCATTCTTTTCTTTATAGTTTCGTCTGATGAATGAATTTCAACAAGAAGCTCCAAATTACTGGATTCGCTATCCTGACAAGTAAGTTTATTTATTATGCTTCATGTGACAAAAATATCCCTTCAGATGTTAAAGAAAGAGGCTAAAGCAGAGTCTATAATATAATACCATACATGAGCTTTAGTTGATAATCCTTTGAAATGTTTCTCAATAAGGATTACATGTGAATTGAAATTAATAATTAAGTGTTATATGATAATTTCATTCTGTGATGACTTTGGAAACACCATACTGTGTACAATGAGGGACATTTAGTCTGCGTATTTTTGGACTATATTTGCTTACCACCCAAAAGGCATTGGTTTCTAATAATGCTTAGATCTTGCTTCATTTGTAAGAGCGTTCATTTCAGATATTTAGAAGATGTAGTGGAGTCCACATTAAAACTATTATCAATACATCCTAGCCATCAAGCAGGAAATATCTATATTACACCATTACATTATATAGCTCTAGTTGATCCTAAAGCTAACTGGTGTATTAAATGGATGGTAAGTAGATCTAGGAGTAACATTGTCATTGTCATTGTCATATTAGCACTTTCTTGGAATATCTCAATTTGGAGTAATAATTAAATGATGTAGAGGTAATAATAAGATTGCCTCTTTGAAATAGGTCTAATTACACTAATTACCTAAGAAATTTTTACATATCAATGGACAATTCAAAATGAAATGAAATAGATTGCTCAAATAATGTGCTTGATGTATACAAAATTCCAGTTTGTGTGTTGCAAAAAGGAAATAAGTAAAGGAGAAATGATTATTTTATGAGTAACTTTTGTATGATTACAGCATGGTAACTACAGTAGAAGAGCTTTACTGATTTCATTAAAATCTCATAAGAAAGTAGTAAGTAATCTTGAATTAATAATATATATGGGAATTTCAAAATGAAATTGGAGAGTTTGAAAAGTTATTAATCTTTAAATTATTATGAATTATCACATAGCCTATTCCTGTAACGTATCGTTTTACTAAGAAATTTTTACTATCATCCGTAAATATTTTGTAAGGGGTGGTATATATGTAAGATGTTTAGAATCCACAAATCTATTAATATCTAGATGACATGGTGTTACTCATCTCTTGATAAGAACTATATTCTCACTTTATTACATGTATCTATTGTAGGTAGAGAATGCAGTACATCATTGTTTAAAATTTCTATCAACAATAAAATCTACAACTAAACCTAGTGATCTAGCTGATAATATATCAAGATTATCTATTGGTACTGATATACGACGTTCATATTATACCTCAACAGAATTACAATATATCTATTTTATACATTCATTGTGTTTTATTGGACGGTTACTCTGTTTTCTTAATGGTAGAAGTTTCTTTCCAATAAAATACAGAGATATTCAAGGTATGAACAAATTCAGATTTATTTATGTTATATATCCATACACATTTAAAGAGCTTGTTAATGTAGAGTTTGTCTGTAAATCTTTATGAAGTAACTTCAAATGTCATAGATGTGATTATATTGGAATTGATCATTACATTACTTACTGCAAGCGAATGTTTTGAAGCACAACAAATAAAGTCAAACAAACAGGGATTTGTTTCTGAGATGACAGTGCAATCTAAGAGCCAAGAGGCAATGAAAGTAAAATGATATGAAATGCCAGAAATTTGCTGTGGTTCCATGGAATCTCTGAGCATATAGAGTTGAGAAAATTTTTATGGTATTCACTGTATATATACATGTATATATGTATATTTTGAATAATTTAGATCCAGTAACAGTTACTAGTTTATTAAAGTCATTAGTTATGATAGTAGTTGATAGTCCATCAGTACTCAGTTCTAAATCAGGTAATATATATTTACACCTTAATTAATACCATGTTGATTGTGCCATTGTGAAGAATGGAGGGATGTAAGAAAGAAAGAAATATGTGGCACATCTTGGCCTTTACTGTGGTGCATGTAGCAAAGAAGGCAATGGTAATTTGTTTTCCAAAATGATCCCTTTTGGAAACTATGTAGCTAATAATAATATTTTATCATTATCAATTGAATTGCTAAATTTTCAGTTCTGGTTATCCTCACCTATGTATCTTTAGAACGGAATGCATGAAATATATGCCTCAGATTCAACAAGGAATAAAATTGATAAAGAAAACAAAAGTTTATTTTTAAAGACTATATGATTATACATGTATTGGAGGTGATATGATATTTATTATAGAAAGTTTAGATGCTGCTGGTCTAGTGAGTGAAGTGTTGAAAGATTTGTGTAGTTGTGGAAGGTTATGTGAGATATGTTTCTGTCGTAATGAAATAACATCAACATTATTAATACCTATCTCACAGTACTTGAATACCAATATAGTAAGTATATACCTACGTCACAGTAAGTATATACCTACCTCACAGTACTTGAATACCAATATAGTAAGTATATACCTACCTCACAGTACTTAAATACCAATATAGTAAGTATATACCTACCTCACAGTACTTGAATACCAATATAGTAAGTATATACCTATCTCACAGTACTTGAATACCAATATAGTAAGTATATACCTATCTCACAGTAAGTATATACCTACCTCACAGTACTTGAATACCAATATAGTAAGTATATACCTACCTCACAGTACTTGAATACCAATATAGTAAGTATATACCTATCTCACAGTACTTGAATACCAATATAGTAAGTATATACCTATCTCACAGTAAGTATATACCTACCTCACAGTACTTGAATACCAATATAGTAAGTATATACCTACCTCACAGTACTTGAATACCAATATAGTAAGTATATACCTACCTCACAGTACTTAAATACCAATAAAGTAAGTATATACCTATCTCACAGTACTTGAATACCAATAAAGTAAGTATATATCCAATGTAGTCACTGACAAACAAAGAAAACCACAGGTCAGAATTTAATTTGAGTTTGTAGTCTTGCTTATTGTGTCATGTGACTTTGTTATGTGAATAAAAGACTTTAGTCCTCTTTCCATTTGAGGTCAATTCCAAGGCATGCAATGCTAATTTTTCCTAATTACTTGATGTTAATCTACCACTGGGTAACCTAGTTTGGGTTTGTCGAATTTTAATCCCCCTTTAGAGAGAGTCCACATAGCTTTTGTTGTTTATTTGATATCAAAAGTGAAGAAGTTTCTTAAAATACTCCTGTGTATAAAACTATGGTGTATTTATTATAGAGACTAGAAGATTTACCGAGTGAAGAAGCGTTAATACGTGTAGCAGATATACTCTGTGTCGTAGCGTCTGATGATTATGGTAGACAACATTTAATGTATGGTGAAGGTGGTACTATGTTCTCTAAAGCTAGGTGGGTTTTCATTTCTCTGTCTAAAGTATTTTGATACTTTAGCTATCCAGAAGGTGTTCTATTGCCTTATGTAATATCTACTGTGCAAGGCAAATATGTGCTGTTGGGTATTAATATTTTGTAATATTTTGGTCACAGCCTAACATACATGTATCTAGTAGATTTATTCGTGCATTCATTTGACTGAAGCATTTCTTCTGAATTTTGAAACTTTTTGTGTATCTTGCAGCCAATGCCAGAGTCTTTGTATTAATATCACTTGACTTGGGCAATCAATTCCATGCTTTATTTTATTGTAGAGGATTACCACCAATCCACTATATCTGTGAATTTACAAAGCGTTGTTTAAAGAAAGATTTACCTCCCGTAATTACCGTGCCATCACGAACAGTTATTGGTGTATATCTCTATATCTGTCGTCAGTTATATATAACTTGTGATGGTTTATATTCACTTCATCATTATAATCTACATTCCTGTGTAGCTGATGCTTGGGAAGAGGTAAGCCCAGTTGCATCCTGATTCAATTGCAAAACGAGATGTTTTTCCAGCTGCGAGCACAGCCACCCCATAGAAAACACGCAACAAAAGATCTGCATTTTAATTATATTGGGATCGTTGAATAAATTTTTGCCATCCACAGAAAAAGCATGAAACAAGACATCTAGATCTGACGGAAAGGGCCTGGAAAAACATAATGTTAGATATTAATGTGTTTTCACATTTCGCACTAGAATTATGCTGCTGCCTCACGACTCAAAGCTTTAAAACCTGTGTAGAATAAACAAATCATTCTGACTGTGTTAGTCTGATTCCATATCTGTCCAAATTTGCCTCATTGTTGTTGACTGAGGCTACAGATATTTGACTTTTTTTATAGGCCTGTCAGGCTGGAGAAAGGGCAGTAACTCCTACACCTTCTAATTCAAATACCTTAATTTCAAAAACTGATGATGACCAATACAGTGTGTAAGTAAACCAAACATTGTTCTTTTCACCAGTAGTGAAATTGTTTTCGGTTAAGTCCAGTTCAAATAAAGAATTGCTGAAATAACTTTGTTAAACTTTCGATTAATGTAGTGTTTGTATCCTATGAATTTGACAAAGATTGCATTGCATTGCATTTCAGTCTTTGACTTGGGGAACCCAACCACTAATTATCTAATAAAAAATGGACTATTCATTGTCTTTTGCACAAATATCAGTTATAAATTTCTGATTTCCATTTTGAAAAGTTTTGCAGGCCTATATTAAATTGGGCATATTTCAGGTTATTTTGGGAGCAGTCGTTACTAGGTAGTCTATTAAACTTTGCTAGTACAGCTCGTGGTATATTGTTATTACAACAGAAAGAGATTATTAATGAATGTGTGTCCTATATGTATGATAGATATAAACAAAAACTACAGGTAATCATTCACCTTATTCTTTTATTTGGACTTTCATGTGTAAGTTAACAGTAAAATTTCCATCATTGCACTCTCAAACACTGTTACAAACTGTTTGAATAAAGGATGGGAAATCATAAAACTGTATTTCATTTTTATGTTGAAAACAAGTAAAGGAAACTTGATAGAATTTTAAGCTTTTGGTTATAAAGATACAGTTGAAATCAATTTATCTAATTAGGTGGGTAAATTTGAGAAGTTTGGATATGGTGTAATGGTCACACAAGTAGCTGGTACTGCACCTGGTATAGCAGCACTACAAAACACAGGTCAGTTGAACATTTTCTGTGGGCAATAAACTCATTTAACATATCACTGCTGCTTTTTATGGTCTTAAAGTTCATTTATACTGACTTTCTCTGTTGTCTTTTCTTTCATGAGCATTTGAAAATAAGCATACATGATGTTTTTTGTCTTTCTGTGTATATTGAATGCTTTACATCCATTTCAGGTTATATCAAGTCATTAATACATGAAATCTGGACCTCACTAGAATGTGGTGTATCTGATGTACCTGTTTATACTCCAAAATCATGGCCTGTTGATGTTATTGATAGAGGCTCTCATAAGGTTTGTTTCCGCTTCCGTCTTTATCAAGCTGGTTAGATGCTGGCTTACTTACCTTTGGATTTTTCAACCCGGTTTCCAGTGATGGAGGTCAGAGAGGCTGAGACAGACAGAGCAACTAGTTGTTAAGATGGGACAAAAAAAAAATAAGCCCTGTGTGCTAGAGGCTGTGCATGTTAAAAATCCCTTGGCAAATAGAAGTCAAAAAAGAGTAGACTTATGCTGCTGCCTTGACAAAATTTCTCTAACTGCACACTGCATGTCATGCCACGGTTTAATTGTCTTTAATTTCTAGTCCGTCCATATTGTTATTAATGATTTATGATTTGATCTGTGTTTGTTATTTCAGCATTTAATAAGAATATGTAATATATTATCATCATTTAGTGCAGTGTTTGAATTATTAGCTACTAAACCTCTACCTACTAAAGATGAATACAGTTTTAGAGAAATGCCTGATACCATAGCTGTAAGTAGACAACCATTGTCTTAGTTAGTATCTTTTCATATCACCCTTTTACAATTTTCTCCTGAATTGATCCAGTTATCCTTCTCACTTCGACTGGGAAGGGGTGAAATGAGAAAACATTGCTAGTGAATTTGGAAGGGACTGAATTAACCATGTTGTTCATTGTTAATTCTAACCAATCAGAAAATCTGTTCCAAGTTAGTTTCATGGCATGGCCTTGTCCCTCTTTATTAGCCCAAAATTGAGCAGAAAAGTAGGGGGTAAAACTAAATTTCATTCCTGACTGATATTATTCTAGGGTTTAATAGACAGAGTAATCATGGTGGATACAGATGCTAAAGAACATTCGCTCTTTAATTATGAACATTCTCATGTATTTGGGTTAAGGTAAGTACAGTGTTGATTTTGATAGAATGATATTAGCTAGATATTACAGGTATCTTAGCTGGGTCATATGTATGTATATCAATTTGAAATAAAGGATTTTGAACGAGGGTGTGTGGCTCTATGAACCCAAAAACAGGAATTGTTGTGTGATAATATGATCTCATCAATTGATATACAGAAATATCATTGTGATTAAGTTTCAGGCAGTTTAAACATCACACAACTCTAGATTTTATTTCAGAGCAAAGTCCATAGTAGCATAGCAGATTTAAGAAGTTTAGTCTCTTGAACTCTGTTCATTTGATAGATGTATTCTTGTTTTATTTCTGTGACCATATATTCATTACAGGCAATATTTTATGTTACAGAACATTAAGTGTAATGGTATCATGTTTAGATACAAGTCTATTATTACAGTCACAATATAAATATCAAGATATGTTACTACAAACACAATCAGACAATAAAACAAAAGGGTGAGTATACAGGTTTGATTCAGATCAGGCTTCAGGTATGTTAGCTTTGTTATAACGTGGTGAAACCTATTAACTTTTAAAATGGAGCTCAATGTAACAGATAGTTGAATAAATTAATATTTGTGTTGGTAGAGCTCTCTTTCTATTATTTTTCAGTATGAAAGTCTACCTTTGCCTCCACCCCACAATTAGTGACAACAGTCTAAGACTTCCTATTGTTGTCAACAAAGGCTCAACTTAGATTGATATCAGATTTTCATCTAACATTTTGGAATCTAACACATTATCTGGTGGTAAAGCAAATATCTAGATGATGATATATTATAAATTGGCAAGCCAGATGAGGATAAAAAAATTCTTGGTTAATGTTATTTTCTATTGTTTACAGTGATCAGTATATAATAGATATGATATCAACAGAGAGAAATTATTTACTAGTATCATCTTATCTTATTGGTGGTCCTACAGAACGTATCTTACCACCCCATACTCTAGAACAACCTAAACCATACGAGGTAGGCTAGTGTTTCAGATATATAATCCAGCATCAGGACTTTTAGTTTGGATATGGGTGTAATTCTCCAATGTATTTTCACTAGTTTTAAGAGCATGTTTCATACACCTTATTGATACCTGTGTTAAATGATATCTAATATAAAATGGTGTAAGGGTAGAGATATATTTTTTTGTTCTTTTGTATTGACTAGACCGTTTTTATGTTATTTCTACCATGCTTATTTTGCATGTTATTATGTTAAATGTATGATGTATTTTGAATTATAATTATTATATGACTGTATCTGCACCACTGAGCTGAGCTTCTAGCAGGACTGTTGCGGCATTATAAATGCAATAAATTATTATTATTATTATTATTATATGGTCTAAATCAGATTGTTTGAATTATGTTTATGGAGTTTGAAATTACAATGTCAGAAGGCCAAATTAAATATATTTTTTAATGTGGTTGTTTTACTAGTTTGATATTGTGGAGCTCAGTTGGTAAGTTCTGAACAGGTCTGTCTGTTCCAATTCTGACCTCCATCGAATGGAGCGGAACTGGTTATGTCACATTCAAAATTAGTCAGCCATTTTAAATTCTGTTTACATCTACTGTGTTTTTGGCACATTTGGCAGTGTTCTTAACACTGTTGCAACTTGTTTTATTGAAAATCTGGATGAGATCATGAATCCCAAATGTGCAGAACATACCAATATAGTGCCTCAAATATAATATTGTAACATTACAGGAAGGAGAGGTGTTATATCCATACCCAATGTTTAGTACCTACCCTGTACCTAGAGTATATATACCTAACCTAGCAGGTCGCTCAGCCATGAAACAAGGTATTTATTTCCTAATAGTAGACAAAGAATAGATGATCACATAAATCTTCTGCTAATTTATGATATTGGCTCATAGGGACACATTTAATGCTGGTGCTTTTAACTCATACATTACATTGGATACTATTTGGCATGATCAAAAATACACTTCATTATTTTGAATGTCCTTAAAATAAATGTGAAACAGAACATGTTAGAACACAAGTTAAAAATTATTTTAAATTTATATGGCTCATCTTGTCTTTAGAATTATTCATTTCTTCTTAGATATATTCTTGTTTCACTTTGAAAGCTCTAGGACACATTCAATGTAGATTTATGATTTTAGTTTGTTCTATTGATAACATGCTTAGTCTTGATTTGCCTATCTTAGCTGTAAAGTAAATAGTGCTTTGTGATGGCCTATAATGATAGCTGTTTTCCATTTCCAATAAAATATAGTACACTATTTCTATATATGTATATGTGTCTGTCTCACAAATAGTACAAGAATACTAGTATACATTCTATAGTAATTCTCTTTTATATCAGTTCACAATAATCTCTATAGCCTAGTTTCACTATTTCAGCATTTGTAGAGTCAGCAGATGAAATAAAAGGTTGGAAAGCACAAACACAAAAACTTGTATTATAGCATGAACTCTAGCCAAGCAAATTTGTTTGTGCACATCATGGACTGAGTCTATAAATTAACATGAACTGTTGACTTGTATTTGAGGTAGAATAGAAGGTAATTGAATATTAAATCATATATATATCATGATATATATCATGTGAATTACTACCTTAAGTGTACCTAAAAAAAAAAGTGGACTGTTCGTGTTAATGTTTTGAATCGCCCCTGATGTGCACAGATATCCTTGTATGACTTTTATCCACTGAGCACGCTGTGTTATGTTTAAAACAATCTGGCACAGCACTGTTGACTTGATTGCACTTTGCGCAATGCGATGCTCTGAAACATATTTTCATTTCACTTATCATACGATAACTCTTGTCAACTTCTTCATGAATATTAATGAGATGGTTTGACATCAGAATATATAAAAGAAATAATGTCGCATTATGTAATAGTTGAAAAGGTAATTTACTAAGTGCTATTCAACCAATTAAGTGGCAAATGTTGAAAGCGAAATCTTGACTGACTGTCTAAGATATAATTTGTTGCCTCAAATATACCTTCTACCTTTAGGAGTATTGATCCTAAGAATACAATTTGACTATTTGATTGTTCATGAAATTGAGTTATCCTAGGGTAAATGAAATGAAGGTATGTTAGTAATCATCAGTGAGTATCTGAGGATGATTGTGGAAGTGGACACTGTTAGATTCAGACCTCTACCTGATTGATAAGGTGTTGGTTCTATTCTTTGTGTGATTATAAATTTTCAGGTACCACATTATTATTCCTTGACTTTGATAAAGCAACTGGTTCATGTGTTTATTTTGAGTTTTAATTTCGAATCTTTGTACTAAATTCATTGTACATGCCCTGATAAGGTCTGAAGGTTGACACCAGACTGACAAAGTATTGGCATCAGAATTAAGGGGTTTTGAACATACAACACCTAAAAGAATTTGACTTTCTACTGACTGAGCTAAGTGTCATGTGTCATTTGAACTTTCATATAGCTACAATATTATAAACTGGATATTTGTTAATCTATGATAATGATAATATTGTTTTATAATAGTGAAGAAAGTCTGATGTTTTTAATGAAGTGAAAGTAAAAAAAAAGTTTTTTTTTTCTTTAATAGACAATGAAATGAGTAAATTTTTAGCTGGTAAAGCTGAGAAAAGAATGTCTTGGTTGGAGAAATGTAGAAATTTATTTTATAATCTTTTAACCAAGAAATCTGATCAAGTGAAAGGCACATGTAAGTATTTTAGTTTTGTGATTAAGGTCAGGATTTTAAATCCCATACACAGTCTATTATGTTGATGACTTTGAATGTAAAATACTCATATCTAAAATTTTAGCTCTTTGACTCAACATTGTAAGTGCATGCTCGAATGAAATACAATACCTTTTTAGTTTAGCTCAAAGTTTTTGGTCTTGAGCACAACTGATATTTTGATGTGTTATAGAAATTGATAAGAGTACATCATAATGGTTGGTTTATTTCAGTACTCCAGTTATTATTTGAACAAACTGTACCTGCTATTAGTCAAATTAAAGATGAATCTATCTATTCCCTAACTCCATATACAGGTATGTTTAAGCTATCTATTCCCATAGTACATATACAGGTATTATTACCGGTAAGCTTCCTATTTTCTTTTTGAGAGCTTTATGTACCTTGAGAAACTTGCTTAGGGAAAAATGAACATGTTAATGTTCATCAGAATGTTTTTCTGGCCTCATATGTCTTAATACAACTCATAATGAGGCACTAGGTACTGCAATATGTGCACATTCTTAGTTTTAAATAGAGAAAAGTGGGACATTGCTAAATTTCCCTCATTACACACTGCATGGTGTTGCCCATCGTTATTACCCTGATGCCCATTTATTAAGAGAGTACTGTTTATAATTTAGAGAGTCCTAGCTCTATCTAAGAATTTCTTTCTATTTTTGAGAATCATCATAATTGTTATATAATAATATATTTATCTATTATACTGTAGGAGGTGAAGCTATTAACAGTTATAATTTATCACCACTACAACAACAAGGTGTTAAAATTGCTGTAAGGTATGTATCATAAATGGATAATATAAATGATGACTAATGTTCTACTTATGTTATTATTGAAATTGACCTATTGGCTTTAACAGAATCAGTGACGGAGCCAGGTTTATGTCCTGGGGGAGAGAAATATGTGAGATTGCCTGAATATCTAACCTAGCTATGAGATTTTTGCCCGAAAAAACTTGCTGTCTTGGCTGCAAGGCGGACGGCTGACCTCTCTTTGGCTCCACCACTGAACAGAATAGTCATGGAATCATTCCAATTTTGTAGTATTTTGTTTCAATCAGTTTGATTTTTTATTGAAAATAGAGCTGTGTCAGTTCAATGTTTTGCTTTGAAGAATCAAGAAAAAGGCTTAATACAGTAACATGTGTTTTATATTGTAGATATGGTGTACATCTTAAAGTTTTGAATAATGCCACAGAGGCCACTGATAGTTTAACTCATCTTCTCAAACAAACTGGTTCTTTCTTTCTTCAAAAATCAAAATACAATAAATCACCATCAGCTCTATGTATCCTTTATTCTAAAAGATTTATTACTAACATCACTATAGGGTTATATATATGTTGGTCAGAGGAAAAAGACAAGGTACAAGTTATGGTGGTGTACAATGTAGGATACTGTATATAATATTGTTAATACCAATCCTAATACCATTGATTTGTTCCATCAGATCTTGAAAATAAAAAGTATGCTTTATCTGTGTGTGGAATGGAACTCAAATCCTGTAGAACTAACCCCTAATATTTGACTAAATGATCGCTTAAAACTGTCCACCAATTCAATAGACAATATCAAAGACCTTTGTTTGAATTACAGAGTAGAGTTATTAATATTTTGTGTTTCAAAAGGAAGGTGGAACACTCTCTGTCATCAAAATAAGTAGGCATAGTAATATTAGTAACAGGTTGAAATTCGAAGTAATATTCCATTCTTTCACCTTAACCTTTGAACTAGTACATGAGAAAGGATGTTATCCAGGGTTTGATTGGTTTACCTCTACTATATTTCTAATGTTTAATGGTAATAAAGAGAAAACCTGGAAATTTCTTCACAAGTTTAGTATGTTAGTAACATCAGGATATTTATGGCTACCCAGATTACATTGTTCAGTAAGTTCTTCCCCCTTTTTATACACCAAACTTAGAGGTTGAATGTTTTGAAATGAATAAGTATCCCATAAAAAAAAAATTTTCATGTGCGTTTCTTTTTTAATTGCTAAGGAAACATTTGACCTTCAGACATGTCTTGGTAGAATTGAATAAGGAATTTTTGACTGAGAATAAGTTGAAATTGAAAATTCTTCCTGACCATGCCCCTATACACTGAATATTTAAAATGTCTCTCCAATCCTAAACTTATTGCTTCTCATAATTTAGCATGTACCTCATATAAGCTGGTTAAGAATAGTCCCTGACACTCAGACTTCTCCTGTCACCCACCTTGGGAACCTGCTCATAGAACCTTTGTTAATTCTGGACTGAATGATAGAGGTTGGTTAAGGAAAGACCTATCATTGTCTGTAATGGGAAGTGGTTACAATAGTTATGTTTTATTTGTTTTTAGGAAGATTTACCCCAATCTATATTATACAGTGGTATTCATCCTCTATTCTTCTCTACAGCACATAATATAGAATTTATACTACAGACTGAATTACCTCTAGTAGCTTCAGCTTTTAAAATGTCTGGTTACACTCCTTCTCAGGTAATGCTATTTATCGTCTCTGTGAGTTAAGACACTTGTGTGCTAACTGGAGGGTTTGACCCAGGCAAATTTTTCTACCTGGCTCTTATCTTTTAGAAAAGAATTTTAGTTAGAGGTAAGAACGTTCCTATTGTTTTTCCAATATATTAAAGCTGTTGCCAAGACTTGTGGACATTTTCAGTTTGAAAAGGCTGTCAACAGCATAAGATGATTTGAACTCTATTGAAGCAATCTAACAGAAAAATGAATGGAATAAAATATCCAATTACAGGAAATACAAACAATACGTATGAAATCTTCTATTTTCAGATCTGTGTTCACTGGTTAAAGCAATGTTTTTGGAACTATTTAGACTGGACTGATATATGTCAGTATATAATAACTTGTATTATAATGGGGGTAGATTATCAGGTTTATATCTGTATCTCTATATTCCACCATTTACAACATCATATCTTACAACACATGCAGACACATGATCTCATGATATTTCTTAAGGTAAGAGGAATTCTTTAAAAAAAACATTGCCTGGGCTAAGAGCTACAGCGCAGGCAGCCCGTCGTTAGGCTGGGGTCAATTGGGGCTGGGCCCCAGCATGTAAGAATTAAGCCCCAGCAAAACCTTTCTTCAGTTCAGCAGAGATTGTACAAAATCAAAAAGATATAGGTTTTGATATGTTTTTTGCACCCCAAAATTGTCAGTTATAAGTTTTCTGGGCCTTTAATTCCTCAAATTTTCTGAGTTCAAAATCTGAGCCCCAGCATCAATTCATTCCTGACGACGGGCTGGCTACATGAATATTTCAAGCCAGGCTTTTTTGTATTGATTATTAATCAAACTATGTGTAAATGATATGGACTGTTGGTGGATCATATCTTGATTCTCGATGTTGACAAATATAGTAGCTTGACTATTCAAGATATTTGTCATTTTAGCTGCAACAATGAAACTCTCATCTTCGTGCAATCATATTGGAAATGGTTTCTGAATAACTGTTTAAAGGTTTGCTGTGTTAAAAAAAATAATATTTATCATTTATTTTGTTTTAGATCCAATTAATTAAAGGTCTCAATGTTAGACAGGCATACTATTAATTGATTGTTAACAGAAGTTATTTTTATTATTTCATATATTTTTATTGTATTTCAGGAACAACCTATTAGAAATTATAAAGTATCAGAAAATCTAAAATATATGAAATCATTAGAAAGTAAATTTAGAAAGATAGTATTGAAGGATATGGTATCTGTTCTTAAAAAATAAACTTAATTATCAAGAGATATATTCCGTCCAGAACCCAGAGTTCCTAAGTGTCTGTGATTGTATCTTCAGGATATATAATAGTGCTGAATAAATGTACATCAATTGTAGAGCTATATAGAAATTATTTGACTGTTTTCATTATTACACTAAGTGTCCATCCATTGAATTTTCATATTCCCAACCCGTCCTCTATTGAAATACTTCCAAAGTTTTTGAAAGCAATATCTTTTTGTCATTGAATTATATAATCAGGATAATGTAGCTATATAATTGTTAGTCTATGCTCGATGCTCGTTAACATCGTAAAGTGTCTAGACATTGAGATTCCTTCAAAAATTCAAAATTACTGAAATGAAAAGAAAGGGAAGCCTAAATTTTGTCTTAAATTGTGCATAATATCCTAAATTTATGTCTGTGATTCATATTATTTATTTTATATCATAGATTTGTGCATAAACCATGTCATATTTTAGGACTTTATTTTATTGTGATATTTAATAATATTTTATATTACAATTGTCATGTATGGATTATGAAAACATGTTTTGACATCATTCACATGAAGTATGACAACTGGAGTTGTTAGTCTGAAACATCTACCAGAGGCTGGAATAGAGGAAGATGTTTCTGTTTATAGGTGTGTTTTGAACACATGGGCCAAGTTGGTAGAGAACTTGTTCGAATGACCAAAAATTGGACTGTCTGAAACCTCTCAATTGAGGACAGGACCTTATCAAACCTTTCAGTTGCGGACAAGATAGTTCGTAACCTTTGCATTGCGACCAGGACAGTCTGAAATCTCAGACAGGAGTGTTTTGTCCGCAATTGAGAGGTTGCAGAAGTTCTGTCCATAATTAGAAGGTTCAGACTCAACCTCCTGATTGCGGCCAGTGTAGTCATACCTCTCAATTACGGACACAACTGACTGAAACACCTCTAAAGTGCAAACAAGACAATAACGAACCTTTCTATTGACAAGGTCTGAAACCTCTCGATATCAAGATAATCTGAAACCTTTCCATTGCGGACAAGAAATTCCAAAACCTTAGCAGTCCAAAAACTTTTAATTGCAGACAGGATAGCCTGAAAACTCAGAAATGACAGAAATTGAACCCAATCTTATGAGGACAGACTGTAACAGAAAGCAGGTTAGTGGTCAACCTATAGGGTACCCTAAAATGATACAGAAACATTAACAATTTATTAATAATTATAACAATAATCAATAATAACATTCACTGGTATATATCAGATAAAAATATTTGTGCACATTTGGGGTGGTCCAAAACATAAACTTTGTCATTTTTGTTTAGAGGCAAAACTAGTAAATAAACCATAAGCCATGCTTGTTGTGCTTGTTAAATACAAGTATATTGGGCTACGCCTCTTTGTTTTAAATCATACCCAAACATCAGTTTTGCCTATGTAGAAACATTCTTAAGTTTGATAAAGTTAAAAAGAGCAGCTGAAACCAAATTGATTTGTAGACTAAAGAAATTCCTATAGTCAAATCATAGTCTGATTTATTAATGCTGTAGTTAGATCTTGATGTTATACATGAAAATATCAGTCAAGTTTATAATTAGGTCCATACATCATATTTTCTTACAATTTGCCCAGATCTTTAAGCTTTTAAGCAATTTATTACAATATAACATGCGCATCCCACACATTTAGTATAATTCTGTTGACCTTTAAAATATTTATATTTTTAATTGCTGTAGTTGATTTATAATGTTGCTTTTTTCACCATTTGTGCTGATTGATAAACTTGTTTTAAATTTTCCCTTCTATCATTATTACAACCTTAAATATACGAGTTTTGAGAATCAATAAATTGATAAAAAGAATAACCCTAGTACAAGTTTTATCTTGTTAGAGTAACAGGTACATGTAGACAGGATAGCCATTGGTGAAGCATTGCCATCAGTCAGTTTCAATAGTAGTGGGTTCAAAATACTTATATATATAACTTTTCAAAAAATTTCAACTACATTCTTTGACCAAGTTAAGTTTATGGAACCATATATATCACATACAATTTATGTCAATTCAGTTTTAACAGCTCAACTCAACGAGCCATTCCTCATAGCTCTTCAATAATTTGCTTTCACAAGCCTTAGACATACAGCAGGAAAATTTAAATAGGGCCTATCATAATATCAATACAAAATACAGCTAGATCTTTGGAAAAATTATATAAAATACATTAAAATTACCTAGAAAAGAGTTCATAGCTGTACCATAATTATTGATAGAATCTGAAGTTATTGCATCTTCTAAATAAACTGGTCCATCATCCCATAACAGATCAAATCCTCCAATTCTTTTCTCTTTACCAGTTAATCTACAATAAATATACAGTTTATAGCATCATTAGAAGGGGTGTATATTTTATTCGCAATTATATGTTTTAAATTAACACTATATTTCCCTCAAATATATGCTTTTCATATAAACTTAGTATTGAATTATGTTGAAGTCAAAAATTCTATGAAATAGTGCTGTTATCTAGTGATAAGTTGAAAGGTCATGTCCTGCACACTTTCAAGAACGTTGGCCAACCAAAGAGAAGTTTTAGTTGCTCTGTAAATGAATGGCAACAGCTTATACTGTGCAATTTAGAGCCGCTTTTTTCAACCCCATAGCTCACCTCCAAATAGTTTTTGTGACAATCCAATTATTATTCCACCTTGTTTTTAAGAATGGACCTGTGAAACACCTACCTATTTTCCATATCTATTATATTTAATACATCATTTAATAATCCACATTTTAATTCATTATCTTCTTTACTACTAGCTGTTAAAGATGGCGAGGCATTAATTTCTATCAACCATCTGAAACATAAATTGGAAATTGGTGTCTGTGTTATGCCAACTTGATTTTTTTTGTAGTTGATATGATGGGTGCCAATAACAATGTCAGAGATTTTGGTTAAATAACTTACGGTTTGAGGTTATTATCTATTAAAATATCATAACCATACAGTTCAAAACAATGTTTATCATTAATCATAATCTTCTGAACACTTTGTAAACTCAAGATAAATACCTCATTCATTCTATGAAATAAATTATCTATCTGAAACACATATAGAAGATATGAATACATAGATTATTAGCAATGGCAGGATCTACTGCACATAGATCATCAAGCATCATACTGATTTACTTTTAATAAATCATGACTCGATTATTTACACATTGTATTAATACCAGTGTAACTAAAGTCATTCATGTCTTTAATAAAACCTTAACTTACCTGTTCCTGACCGTGTTTTGCTGTTAAATATTTGCGTAATTGTTGTGTAGACCATTTACAGCCTTTCTCTGGATCATAATCTGGAGCTGTTTTCTGTATTGCTACATTGGTTAGATGGACATCTTCTATAGGTTAAAGATAGTTTTTCAATACCAAGTATATTTTTGACAATCAACAAAGTGACTTTCTCTCAAATATTTTAGAATATGTGGACTGAAATAAACTGAGTTTCAGTAATATCATTTACACTATTGCTCAAATTTATCTCAAAATATAATGAAATAAAATGCCCGCTATAACAACTGCTTATTAATGCAAACTCATAAACAAATTCTCTAAATAAATTTGCTCTTAATAACTCAGAAAGGATACAGTTGTCATCAATAGACTCCAGGGAAAATCTTGTGTTAGAAAATCGAGCAAAACCATTCCTATATAACCAGACTTTTAGTGGACCATACTGAAAAATAGTTATAAAGGATTAAATAAACATTATCTCCAAATATGAATCATAATATAGTTATTTCTATTGTCAAGTTAAGACTAATCTGTCTAAATACAGCCTTGGATATTTCATTTTTTTTTCATTTGGGTCACTTTTTCGGGTTCCAAAATGAAAATAAAAGTTCTCTAACTGATGTTAATGCTAATGATTATTATACTTAAACCAGCAAATACAATTTAATTTTCTCTTGAAGTGATGCAATTCAAATGAAATCTTTAAGGTTATATCCAAGCCTTTCCTTACATTTTTTTGTATAGAAATAGCAATAGCAATATAAACCCTGAACTTACTGAAGTAATTAAACAATATACTCTAATATCAAATTTTCTACCACCAATTAAATAAGGATTTTCTATGTATCTCTGTACAACATAGGTCTCTGGTGTTTCTCTGTTCGGATCAGAACTCGGTAAATATTCTGTACCCTGAAAAAAAAAGAAGAGAATTTTGTATGGAATGAAATGGAGTTTTACATCCTACTTTTCTGCACCTGTTTGGGTTTATGAGAAAGTTAATGCCATGCAATTTACAATAAAAGAACTGTTTACACGAGAGATACATAAACCTTCTCTTTTTTAAATTTCCAAATGATGAGGGATCATTAACATGCTCAGCCTGCAGATCACTGGACCTTTGATTATTTCCATATTGAATGACAAGACCTTATTTCCATGTCAGCCCATCCGACCTGCATCAAACAGTAATGAAAAACTGTTGGTAGATATTACTTTTGAAATAGAAATCTGCTGATGTGTTATTAAAGCCTTTCATAAGTAATATTTAATTTAAAGGCAAATTGTTGATATGAGAATATCATAATAAGGTTGAAATTTACAATTATATTATGTGAAATAGTATAAGAGAATGTCTATTAAATCATATATAACCTACCTTCTTCCAATCTGTTATATCTTTCAATCTCTTAAAGAGAAAAATTCCCTTTCCTTGAGATTTAGCTATAGGTTTCATTATCCAAACTGATCCTGGATTTTTACGGAATTCATCTACGAAAATGTGATACTCAGACTGAAAGTAAATAGCTTCAATTGATATAGAGATAATGCAAGAATTTGAATTCTTTTGGAAATAATTAAGTGCTAGAAGGGTCCAAGATACACACACAGGCCAGATAATTTTGAAGATAATGTTGGCAATATGAAGATTTCAGTTTCAGATTTTGCAACACTTAAAACTTGGTCATCCATTAATTCATGTTACCAGATATTTCAACACAACCGTTGTATCTCTACTAGATTAAAAAATTAAATTATTTGAAACCCACAATAAAATATTAATCTGAGTTAGTTTACTTACTGGAAGTTCATATGTTGATGGGAAAAAATCACATCTGAATTCATGTGTCAAGGAAACTTAAGACAATTTTCAATTGACAAAGAATGTACATGTGCCCAGCATCAGATTTTTATAACTTGTAAAATGTATTGTGGTAAAGTGGATCGATACTATCTGCGTAATCAGCTTTAAAAGTAATAATAGTAGTAATACTATTACAGGACTTTGATTTAAAAGGATACTTTTGAGCCTCAAGTTTTCCTGATTCCCTTTCTAACTGTCTCCGTAATCTTTTCAAATTCTTTACCATTAAATTTTTCCTGGTTAGCTGAAAGAAATAAGTATTATAAAAGGTATTAACATCTTCTGGACAAATATGAGCTTCCTTTTCTCTGAATTGTCACTTGTTCATTTAAGTCCAATGTCCTGAATTTGCAATATCAAAAACTACCTCAAAAAGCTAATAATTATGAATCAGATTCACCAACAGACTGAATGTTAAAAGTAAAATATCAGTTTTCAGCATGGCGTTGACACATCATCTGAGCAAAATTTTCCCTTATATGCTATATGTTTTAAAAGGTTTTCTTTAACCTGTGTAAACAATTGTTATATATGTCATATTATCTATATTATGAAAGGGCTCATTATGTGTTTCTCATAAAAATCATCAGAAAAACTAAACAGGGAGTTTCACACAAAATTACATCTATGTTTCTAGAATATTAAATTCAAGTAACCTCATAATGATTTCTAAAATGATTCAGTCTCATATGTTCCTCTAAATACGCATGATCAAAGGTTTCTTTCATCCACCAGGCATCACACCAGTAAAAATCCCAGTCCATTTCTCTGAAATTGTAAGGACAAGTTGCTGAAAAGACTCTTTCAGATGGGGGAAGTAAATGAACTGTGAAAGGCTCATCTCTAGTTGTTGATACAATTTCAAGATATAAAACCTAATATAAGTACAATTAGTGATATTCCCAAGCTTGAATCATGAGAACACAAACAACGAGTCACATCAATGAATATCTTCAGTACAAAAAAACTCTTCACTAAAGATTAAGGCTTCTAGCAAGTTGGGTAGTTGTCTGAACATATTGTGCCATCGGTTTAAATCCTCCTCAAAATAAGAAAATTCTGATTCAACAGTTTGATTATCTTTAATAAGATGAATTTAAATACAGTGTCATCAGTGTATAAAGATATTAAGAGATAGAGTATAGTTATATTTACCCTGTAGACTCTTGCCATCCTGGTCTTTCTCTCAATACATCTAATATTGTATTCTGTAGAGAGCATTTATATCGAATAGCTCGGTCACTGAAAAAATTACGCAGAATTAAGTATAGGCTATAGTCGAATTCCAAAGCTTGGGGAATATAATTCAAACTGACAAATTTCATATACCGGTACCATCAGCAATCAAGATCCTTTATTTCTGACATTTCAGTAACTTATTCAAAAGAGAGTAGATTATCAAGTACATTAGAAAATGTCAAGCTTATACATGTAATTCTATTATACACAAATAGACAAAAAAATACAAGAAAAAAACATCACAAACCTTGGAGGTTTATTCTTTAAAGGATTACGTGGCATTTTTGTTTACATGTGACAAATTTGTTCTGATACCTATAAAAAAGAATTGAAATTCATCCAGATCAATTCTATCTAAGATATCTTTATTTAACTACTGTCTAATTATTTTCTTTTGTAAATTAGTTTATTATGATTAATTTTATATGAAGAAAAATTTCACCTTCAAAACAGCAGATTACATAAAAAACATAAAAAATTATAAATAATAGCAAAATAAGCCAATATCACATTGAAATTGATTTTAAAATTCTGATTGTTGAATTTATTATGCATCTTATTCACTTATTGCTGGAATTAACTTGTGCCATTGTGGATATAATCTTCGAGAAACACAATGCATTGATCCTGTAAAATTAATTTACTGAAAAATATAAGCTCAGAAATATTCAGTAAATACCAGATGTAGGTAGTAGATTTAAGCAGTGAATGTACTCAAGTCTTGTGGTTATGAATTGTATGACAGCTGATAGTCAAGTAGGCCTACTCTCTGACTACACTGTATGCATTGAAATATCATTACTAAATACTACTGAGAGTCTTAGATTGTCATTGGGTTAATGAAAATATCAACCACTGGAAAAGTTATCATTTGATTTACAATTATAAAGGGGAAATTTCTCGGACTCATTTAGACTATTTCAAATGTAAAATCACTGAACCTTATATTACTATTGTCTAAAACAAATGGCTTAAAGTTGAAAAGTTTATTTTGAATAAGCTTATCTTATTAAATAAGAGAAAAAATTCAATTCAAAGTTGATGAAGTCAGACTGTAAACAGGTAGCCTGTTATGTTAGCTTATTGTTACACTAACAAAAGGCATGGCATAAATCTCACAGTCAAAATATTGACTGCAGGAAATGACATAGCGAGATGTCTTCTATTTTGCGTTGACAACTAAGAAACCAAACGTTACTTGTAGGGTATGACGTAAATTTTGACCAATCAATGCCAAGCTGACAATAGCCCAAAGTCGCTTCTTTGATGGAATAGGGGACCAGTTAATCAGACAGTAGATAATAACACCAACAAGTTTTAGGCTACAAGTTCAGTACCGTACGTCACAAGTACCACGAGTCAAAGTGACAGTACGGTTAGGTAGGTACTGCTACAATTGTAGATTGTAGGGGGAAAATAACATAAAGCCCATGCACTAAGTCACAGGCATTGATTTTTATCGTGCCCTCAAACCATACTTATATCAGTTTTCTTTTACAAATCTATAAGTTCTTGTTAAAATCAATGTTACCAACGACGCTTTCAACATGGGAGACTGTTTTTATTTTTATTTTTAAAGAGTTTACCTAATAAGGGGGGTAATTCTCTGACGCACTAGACAACAACAAAATCGTATTTCAAGGGAAATTGATTTGATTTAAAGATGTATTTGGACGTCCGTGTCTTTTAATGGGAAAGATGTCTCTGAAACGGAAATTCTTTTGCTAAGGCAATCAGTAATAGTGTTCATAGATCACTGTCGAAATTTAAGCCTTCATATCCATGTGTGTTAAGAACCATCCACGTTTGGAAGTTAAAAAGACTCATCTCGAGACACTCCTATATATAGAAAAGACATCTATAAAATAGGAAAATAAATTCCTAGTTAAAGATATTTTGAAGGAATTATGCGCTTTTGTCCAAAAATACAAAAACATGTCTCAGAAAGAAATAATTCTATTTTTAAAAGTTTCTTTTGAAAGAACCCTCTCAATTTGAATTTGATTAAGCATTAAATGGATTTGAAGTTTTCTCAGTTTGTTTATGTGTATCGTGGACACTAATAGCATCAATTAGCATTCCCATCTTCAATCAGAAGTCTGTGATTCCTGAAATTCAACCAAAACTCTAAAAAGTGTTTGAGGACGTCATGAAACACTCAATAGGGGAGACCGGGGCTAGTTCGGCTACGGGGCATGTCCGTCACCATTCATAACTCGCATCATAATTTGATTTTAACCACTGCCGCCTGTCGGTAGAGTAGTGTCACCAGACCAACTGTTTAAAGTTAAAAATGGCAGTCCGACGTTGATTAGCCTTGATTTTATCACGAGAATCTTGGATTTTGACCTGATAAGTAAAAATTCTCGCCTTACTTTGATTACTGATTGATTACTTCAACTAGCGTTAGGACGACATGAATTGCTTTGTTTGTGAAGTTTGGTAAGATCATGCCTCTGACTATCTTATTTAACTACTCTCAATTAGTTGACCCAGTCGTATGATATCACGTGATTTGTGGAAAAGTTAGCAATGGGGCAAGTCCGGCTATATTTGTGGGGGTAAGTTCGGCCAGTAACCGAACCTGCACCGGTCACTAGCCGAACTTACCCCTAGTAATATGTATGAAATATATTTTATGTTATCAATAAACTTTTCTTTCAGAATGCATATACAAGAACTTAATCATGGTTTGAAATTATAAAAAGAAAACGCCCAAGTACAACCACTCCAGAAAGGCGTTAGAACATTACATTAATACTTCTGATGATGGATACCTGAAGACTGCGAATTTGTTCAACATACCTCGCACTACACTGTCAGATCAAGAGAAAAGTGGATCCAATGTTCTCAATGCAAAATGTGGTCACACGAACAGTGTGGGGATATCCACGGCATGGTCGGTTTCGTCTGCCATAACTGTGACTCTGGCGACTAAAATGGATGATATTGGGTCTTGGTGCAATTGGTGTATGATTATTGTTTGAATACATAAAATTTTGATGGAACTAATCCTCTTTTTCATTTGACTGTAGAACTTGCCCCCAGATGAACGAACTTGCCCCAGGTAGTGGCCTATCTTATACCCCGACCCCTTTTCTGTGAAGGGCAATTACTAGATATTTTAACTGAGTCACGGACAATAACTAGATATTTTAACTGAGTCACGGACAATTACTAGATATTTTAACTGAGTCACGGACAATTACTAGATATTTTAACTGAGTCACGGACAATTACTAGATATTTTAAACTGAGTCACGGACAATTACTAGATATTTTAACTGAGTCAAGGACAATAACTAGATATTTTAACTGAGTCATGGACAATAACTAGATATTTTAACTGAGTCAAGGGCAATAACACAAAAATTCAACTTCACACTTTTCTCAATTATTACATTGAAGGCTCCCCTTTGCCGAATTGAGAGGACACTGGTCATGGTGGGGAACAAGACCTCCCCTGTGAAAATTCTCCAATCTGGCAATTTCAAAAACTTTACTGCTCCATAAACAATCGTTAAATTCGAACTTTTCCGAAATCTCATTAAAAATTTTATAAATCAGATGAATACTGCAGTTTCTATTTTATAGAATCAGTCGAATTTTGAAAAAAGGCTATATATTTTTATATGAATTTACAGACAATTTCGGGCACAAAATACCACCAGTCGTAAAAGTTTTAAAAGGGCACAATAATAGGTTAAATATAATCAAGGTTGAATATTGGCACATTCGTATTAAAAATGTAAAAATATTCAGTCTTATATTTTTTTTAAATGAAATGAAATGAATGGAGTTTTACGTCCTTTTTTTTTTTAAATGAAATGAAATGAATGGAGTTTTACGTCCTACTTTTCTGCACTTTATATATTTTTAAAGGGCACAATATTATATTAAATGAAATCAATCTTGAAAGTTGGCACATTCGTATTAAAGCACTCATATTAAAAGTACTGTTTTGAATCGGCGGCTAGAGATTACCGGCCAGCTTCACAGCTCGAATCGGCGACTACACAAAAGGCGGCCACATTGACTTCGGTAATTTAACTGCCTTTTATTTGGTATTCCCGGATAATCCTGTTTTCATATTCGATATATAGATTGGTTGTCTTTTAATATTCACCTAAACTAATTATCAAGTTAATAGTATGAACAATAGGAGTTGGTTATGAATAGTGAATATTTCAAGACGATAAGCTTATAATGTGCATGTTATCCATTTGTACAATTGGATTCAAAGCAGGCGATTTTGTCTTCACTCGGTAGGCCTGTGTAGATTCTAAAACGGTATATCTGAAAATTCAAACATAGTCGAAAGGTAAGTCTATATTATAGTTATAATGCTCGGTTGCGACTGTACCTTGGAAATATTAAATCAACACACACGACAGATTTCTATTATTTTAGCCTATCGAGGTTTTCCTACCCCAGTAGTTTATCAAGATTCAGGTTTCTTAGGTAATTTGATTAGATTTGTTCATTCCTAATAGAGGTAGGATATCATTGACTAAATAGACCTATGCCCCATGCCACTGTATTTTGATAAGATTGGGGACAATGACATTTCTATGTAGTCACTAGAAAGATTGGGTAGATATTAATTTAAAGGGACATTCCGCTTTTTTCTAAAATGTTTTCATAATCAAAAACGTTGTAAATTATACCTGAAAATATCCTATTTATTTCTATGTATCTTCTTGATCAAACCGAATTTGTTCTAAAAGGGTTAATTAAACACGGAGGGTACTAATTGTTAATTAAGCAGTTTGACATAGTTTTGGTGTTTGGCTTTTTAATATGGCTTGTTATATTTAGTTGAAACCTTTCGAATACGTAGGAGACCTATTTCTCTACAATTAGGCGTTTTTAAAAAGCATGTATAACGAACATTACGTATTGTGTATAGACGTTTTTGTCTTTTATAAATAGTAATGGCTGGATTTTTTTCGTTAACACTTTCAGATACGTTACAGGGCACAATTCTCTAGATTTTGGTGTCTCGTTTTCACAAATTTTAGCTAAAAAAAAAGTTTCGATCTACAAATAAAGTCGAATGTCCCTTTAAACTTCATATAGGCTAGTTATATAGAGATTATGTTTAATTTACTTTGGTATATCTACGATTTGCTAGATTACTTCTCCGTGGATTATGAAATGAAATGTCGAAGCGACATTCTCAAATACAGCAGGAAATATGTAGTGTAGGCTATTGTTAGACATGAAAATTGATCCTTATTAAGTCGATAAAAAGAAATACAACAAAGCAGCTTGACAGAGTAATTATAATATAACACCATATATATAACAACATATACATAACAACATAGGTATCATAAAATTCCATGGAAAAAAGATCATGCTTTTTTTATATCTAGCTGATTACAGTCATGTTCTATCTTAAAGATGGGTTCCCTTATTTTCATTTATGAAAATGAAAATGCTAATACTCGTATGAATAGAAAGTAGAGGTGTTCTTATGACTTGGAAAAATTGAAATTTGTCTTACTTGTCCATGATTAATTCATAATTAGCTAAATTAGAAGAGTATTGCCAGCAGAATTTCAATGAGTGACCGATCAAAAAAGGTCAAAAAGTCTTTTTTTAGTTTTGTTTATCCAGATTGTACATACATGGACATTTATGATTGGTTTAAACTCTTCATTACGAATATATTGATATGATTAAGAATACATGATAATTCAGTAGAAGCACGAATAGTTTGCTTAATTTAACACTAAAAAACTAAACCCATCTTTAAGGCTTACGATAGATATTTATTTATTGTTTCGTTTAATCATACCTGTTAAGAACACTTTAACATTTTATTGCAGCTAACGTCATGAACACGTATTAATTGAAAATATTTTTTAATTTGCGAATGTCAAAATGAGCTGCCGGAGCAGTCGGTGATCGATATTACCTGATGTCGAGCTTGTACATAATCCTCGATCAATAAAACCCAGGAGTAGTATATCATAAATTTGTGTTATGTTATTTGGAGTACGTATGACATGCTACATGCTTTATATTTCTCTCTTCCAGAACAAGTAAAAGGATTAAAAAATATGATGAAAAATGCCAAATGTCACTTTGATTTGGACCTGAATGTGAAGAACTGTAAAGATAAAGCTCGTATTCAGTTTAGAATAAAAACTCTTAAACCACATATACGTGCTGAGTTAGGACCATTGCAGTTCGCCATCCGAAATCTTATTGGTATTCTTCATTACTACTTAGGAGAGTACATTCAAGCATATAAGATCTTTGAAGCGATTCTAGAAGAAGATTTCACCAATCTCAATGCAATACAAAACCTAGCTAGAGTTTGCTTAAAGTTAATGAACTCAAAAAAGGAGGCCGAACTCATTAAACGCGGGGATGAGTTAAATTTAGCAAATGGCCCATCAATAGCGATACAAGCCAGATTCCGCGCTGAACATGCATATGCTATCGTTTTTGACGTGTATGGTACGGTATATGACATTCGAAGACATTCTATATCAAATGAAATATTTACCGAGTGTTTGGAAAAAACACAAAATCTAGACTTCGAAATGAGAAATGAAAGAGCTCTATGGATGCTATGTATGGTATGGAATTATAAAAGTTGGAATTATAAAAATTTCTCGACAGATTCCTCTAAATTGAAGAATGAGGTCAGATATCCAGATATTCTAAAGACCTTGTTAGATATTAAAGATCTTGTACCGGATGATAAATATTTACAATGCCTGGTTTGGGGTTACCTTGGTTATTTTTTTTGGAAGAAACCATTAGACGCCGAATACGATGTACAGAAAAGGAAACAAATGGAAGAAAATGCTGAAGTGCCTGAAATAGTAACATCCAACAGTTTAAAGGAGCATTTCTTTAATCCCGAGCTATGTTTCAAGAAATCCCTAGGTATTCTCGAGGAGATTGAAGCAATGCAACTGTATATGGGTTGGTTGAAGTCTAGAGGACGATACGATGAGGGCATTGAACTGTTGGACAAATGCATCCAGCTGAGCAATAGCGAGACAAACTATTATTCTTATTCCAAGAGAGGCGAACTGGTGGTAGAGAGATGTAAGCAAAGACTCCGTGATGGCACAAAATTGTCTGATGTTCAAAATGATTTACATAAATCTATAGATGACTTTGAATTTGTCTGTCAAGTATGTCCAACCGCATATGTTTTTGGATATCTTGGTACTGTTTGTGGTATCGCTTCCAACAAAGGGGAAAATGAAGATTTGAAGGCCAGGGCTCTTTGTGCTTTTCAATGTGGTTTGGATTGTCTTGGCGGACCACAGGATCCATGGCTTCATTTTAAACATGCAAGGTATCTGAATGAAATTGGGGAACACGACAGTGCTTTGGATGTCATTCACCGTTGTATGGAATGCCGTCATGCTGGAAATAAGTGTCCCGCAGATATTGAGTATCTGTTGGACTGGCATTTTGAGAAGATTGCTCGGTGTGGAGAATCTTCAGGAGTACTATCTGAAATGATTTACTGGTTCTGTGAAGTGGCCTTTCACAAATATGACAAAACAATGCTACAAAAACAGTTTAAAAAGTTTCTTCTAACGAATATGGACAAACTAAGTGTTGATTTCTATGTACAGATCTTCTTAAAGAACGATCCCTATCTCAACCAATTTCTTGCTGCTGTTTTACGCGAAATCGATGTATCAACTGCTTTGAAAGAGAACTTTGATGCAAGTATACTGACTTTGATGTTGGAAAAATCATCTCCAGTACAACAAGCCGCAAGTTTACCATTGAAAAGAAGCGATTCATCTCAACCGAAGAATAGAGAAGGTTTTAGTCACGATTTCTTTGTCATTTACAGTGATAAAGATCGCGAATGGGTGGTACATAGTCTGATGAATCGGTTAGAAAACATAAAAAATTTCAAAGGATTTCTGGATCATCGAGACTTTACGCCGGGTTTGACAATTCTTGAGAATATTGAAAAGGCAATCAGTAACAGCTACAAGTCAATTTTTGTTATCTCTCCAAACTTTCTAAATAGCCATTGGTGTCAGCACGAATCTCAGGCTGCTCTCACAAGTGCCTTAAACAAGAAAAGTAGATTTTCTGTAATACCTATTATTAAGGATAATGCCAAGCCTCCGGATTTCTTAACTTCCATAAATCATATATCCCTTGAAGAAGGTTTAAATGAACACCAATATGAACGCTTAGTCAAGGCCTTAGAAGGATAGCTCAAATTTGGGTTCCAAACCTAACACCATAGGTTTCAGTTTAGTGGAATGACATCTATTTGGCGGTTTGTGATACAAGCACCAAGGACATCTTCATTGTCACCATATTGAATGAAATGTGGCAAAATAGTTATCTCTTCGCAACGATTTTTTATTAAAATTGCAGTAAAGCTTCAGAATAAATCATTTTAATTATTTACTTTTATGAATTGCAGTGTCCTTGGCGGAGCCAGCCTTCTGTGCCAGGAGGTGCAAATATCGGGCAGACTAATGGATGGTGGGGGAATTGGTCAATGGTCGAGGCTGAATTCATAATGCAGCCCTTTTGTCGAGGTGTCATATAAGCAGGTCTCTCACAGTACGCTGAGTTTGAAAGTTAAAAAGATGAGTCGCCTTTTCTTGAGACAATGCCATATATAGAAAAACCATGTATAGAAATAGGAAAAAAAAAATCATAGTTTGAGATATTTCTTAAGTAATTATACAATTTTCGTACATTGATCTGGTTGTCATAATCTGAATGTACTCTTTATCCTCTATATGTATAACATTATAATATGTTCTGCATTTAATTGGCCTTGTGGCAAAGAACAACGTCATGCATTGAGCAATGAGGGTAGTTTTTGTCAGGAAATCGACACTATTCTTTATCGTGCACAGCCTGAAGAACACATCGCCCCGGTCATGAAATCTAAAGGTATCATCTCTTCTTCTGCTAGGGATTGAACAGTGGTTCTTCAGGTTAAAGACAAGCGTCTAACTCACTGAGCCACCACTTGTTTTTTCATGATTTTATTTAATGAAAGTTAACAATTTGAAATCTATATACAAAGATAATACATATACACAATAAATAGTAAACAATTAGATTTCTTGTAAATTGAGATAAGATCAAAGGTTTTACAGATAGTAGAGAGGTGTTCTAAACTGTTAACTTGATAGGACATTACCGATAGCAATGATTTGCGATTAATTTCATTGCTATTTGATAATTTTAGTCAGACGTCTTAAGTTCTTGCAATGCAACTAATCCTAAGCTTTAATGATGTAGCTATTTTAAAAGCTGCCAACAATATATAAGAGCCTTTGCAAGTGTCCTATAAAAAGTTTAGTTTTAATAGAAATGGAAGAGCCACAGACCTCTAACTGAAAATAGGAATTGAGTAAAAAGATGCTATCAGTGTTACCAAAACATACCAAGTTTAGAAAACCTCTTTAATATAATGTTAAATTCAAAATACTCGGATTAAGAAGTTTTAACATTGCTCCTTGGTTCAGACAAAACTTCAGACTTCAGTAACTAATATAAAAACATTAACAATTGATTATGATGAAGACAATATTAGGTAATACCATAGTCAAAACTGAGGTTCTGTACCCCAGCAGGGAAAATTTACCCCTGGTTATAGTTGTTGTGGGTAATAATCAACTGATCAAAAAACTATAAAACTAAGTAAGACTGAATAAATTGTTATCTTATATACTTCTATTTTCATCAAATCTTATAAATAAAGACATAAGACAAACCTATAATAAAATCCATTCTCCATGACCAAGCTTTAAATATACATTAACTCCTACTTAAAGGGACAGGTAGGCCATTTTTATGACCAATCATACTTTAGTCTCAGAAACAGGAATTTTTAGCTGGGCTAATTAGTAAAAGTGTTCACAGCTCACTGTCAAAATTTGAGCCTTCATGTGTGTGTGTCCATGTGTGTCCAGAATTATCTGCGTTTGAATGTTAAAACTTCTAATTTGAAGTATTTTTAAAGGAATTATGTGATTTTCATACATTCTAGTACTTCTGAAGGCTATATACATATATTCAAGACTAAAATCAACCCCCCGAAATGGCACATCTGTCCTTTTAAAAAGATTGTAAAGAGTTTTTGAAAAGAAATTTATGTGTATCTTTAACACTGACAGCAGCAACCATTTCACCATTTCCATTTTCAGTCAAAAGTCTGTGGTTCCTGTAATTCCACAAAGGCTAAGTGTCTGATGATGTCGCTAATCGCAAAATATGCTTTATCATATAAGGCCCTTTGTGATTAGTGAGTTATTAAATACTTAGTTTTAGAGGAATTGCAGGAACCAGACGTCTAATCGAAAATTGGAATGGAGCAAATTGGTGATATCAGTGGACATATCCCCAATACACATATAAAATTTAGAAAAAAATTTACAAGCTAAATTATCTTAATTACTATAAAGGTGTTTAACACAATATTCCAAAATGAAAGAAAAATAATATGACAAATGAAATAAATACATCAAGTTGTATATTTAAAATTAAAGATCAGAAAATGCATAGAGACATGACTAAATTCAGTAGTTATTGCCTTTTGATTGGTTGAATTATGACAATGATGCAATGAAATTATACTAAAAAACTTCATTCCAACACTTGATTTTTTTTTGCACTTCACTTCAAAGGGAAATAATGAGTAAATTTCCAAAAGGACCTAGCTTAAAGATGGATTTCCTTATTTTTTAGTGTCAAATTAAACAAACTAGTTAAGTAATTGGGGTTTAACTATGAATTAATTATGGACATGTGAGACAAACTGGTATTTTTCCAAGTCAATAAAACACCTCTACTTTCTATTCATATAAGTATTATCATTTTCATTTTCAAAAATGAAAATAAGGGAACCCATCTTTAAATACCAATTGTCAGACTGACACTATTTGACTTTGGATTTGTTAAATGAGATGACTTTATACTTTTATGGCATGATATAAATAATAAGGTCTTCCTTTACACTTTATAACAATGTTTTAATTTACTTTTACCAGTTATAAAGATACAATCTTTTAATTCTTATATCTTTTTTTCATTTAATTATTCATTATTGTACCATTATCAGTACAAAAAACTTTTATCAGAAAACTTTTATGATATGAAACAATTAAAGAGACAAAATAAAATTTCATTTTATAAATACACACAACTGAACAGGAAATAAACTACAAATAAATCAAATTTCATAACAATCCAAAATACAGAGAACTTACACACAAAACAAAACATTTTAAATATCAAAAAAGAATCATAATAAATACATGTAATATATTATTAATAAATGGTCAAAATCTGAGTCTTTTCTTCATCAAAACAGTTCGATTTTCTATATTCTACATTTTGCTTTTTGAATTTCATGGTTGAAATTTATATATTTTTTAAAATTCTTAAAACAACAACAATCGGTTTTTTGTTTTGTCTTTGTCTCATTAGACATTTAAATCAATGACAAGACTTCAGATTGGTCAGTTCTGTAAAGATCTAGAAATATTGACCAATTAAAATGCTAGATTATTATGATGTCATCACCTTGGATTTAAACAATGCCAAGACTAGTAATATACTGTACATATTTACATTCTGTTAAATCCTAACTTATTTACAATATTTACATTATCTACAGTTTAACATCTCAAATGTCTTGATGATTTATTTCATTTTATGAAATATACAGATACTTCATAAATAAACTATTGACAAATAAAAAATAGAACATATGCCTTTTACTAAGGGGATTGTAGAAAGGTTTTCAAAATTTCATCAGTTTGCAGCATTTCAATTTTCAGTCAGATGTTTGTGGTTCTTGCAATTCCACTTTAACTAGGTGTTTGATGATGTCACTAATCCAGAAGGGCCTTAGTTTCTTTGGAATTGCAGCAACCACAGACATCTAACTGAAAACTTAAAGTTAGTCGCATAACATTCCACAATAAGGAATCATGGAAACCAAAATCAGGATTAAATTTTCATAAAAACAAAGTATAGAATGTCAATGCCAACATTAGAAGTTTTATTTTAACACTTATATTTTTAGAATCTCAATAGATTTTTACAGTATTTAAGAAGTGGGAAACAACTTCTCTGTTAATTATATCAAATCATGATCTCAGACTATGTACATTATAAACAATGTTTACTATCTGTATATTTATAAGTTGTCTAAACATTAATATACAGGAACAATTGAAGACAAACAAAAACAGTAGGCAACATTCTGGGAAAAATACTCATTTCCTAACAGACACATTCATTTGAAGAACAGTATCTTAACAAATAGTTTATTCTACCTCAAAACAAATTAAACTGTTCTTGTACATTTTTGGATGATTCTATGATGTACATCAATTTAAGATAATATATCTATATACATATATAATTGACCTTACATTGTATTTTATTTACATTATAGGATGGATACTTTCAGACTTAATTAGACCTGATTCCTTATCATAATTATTCTCTCTATAATTAATTCAAAGAGAAATCTTAGTGTTTTGGTTTTAAAAAATAAGGGCCCATGCTGTTACAGCATTTAGATTGTATTTTTGTGTCAATGAGTTTGGCTCATTTCTCTATATCCAACTCCACCAAAGATTATGCTGATGCAGTTAGAAAGGGCTGAAGACAGTCATATCAACAATTCTGAACTGTGTACTCAATTACTCAGCAATTACTCATCTTCTATATTATATATTTGAATGTCATATTTATGGATGCGTTGATATATCAAAGTGTACCCTCACATTGAAAAGCTGAAGTTAAAAAAGTTGACTTAAGATATGTTAAAGAAAATCTAATCATTTTCTGACAATTTCATGAAAAATTTAGATTTGTTTTAAAGATATCATACCTGTTTTATAATAAGGCACTATTATGTTCATGATTAGAATTTCACACAAATGACAAAAGTTTGTTTATTACATACAAATAAGCTGGACCCCATCAATTATTAAAGTGATAAAATGCTGTTGCAAATATGTTGTTGCAATATGCAAAAATTTGAAATTTGTTTGGAAGGGAGAGTATTAATCTAATACCATTCACTAAAGCATAAGGTATGAGGAAATTGCCAAAAAAAAAAAAAATACAAAATACAATAAGATCAACTAACCAATACAACAAATGTTTACATTAGACTTCTTTAGAGAATCAGGCCATGTCTATCATTGGATGGTAAAATACACAGAAATAATTTGAAATTGGCATGATTAACTGGTTGATATTACAAATTATAGGTTGAGGAATTACTAGACAGATAGGACGGGTTTGATATACATGTTATAATATAATTTACCATTAGAACAATGTTTATATATATATTATTATATAATATAATCAACACTGTACACTCGATAATTTAAACAAGATTTTATTTAACATATGTACAGGTGTTTTATACATAGGGCTTATGGGATATAATCATCTAATTAATTCCTCAGTAGAGACAGCTTCATTTTAATTCTCACACATTTTTCAAATCTGAAATTCGTATATCTGGTAAATATACAATTAAATTAATATGATTCACTGATGTGCTGACTACTTAAAGTGGATCTTCACCTAATAATCAGACAATATATCCCATATTAATTCTATTCTGCTGAATCACACAACCTGTCTGTTAATATACCACAGTCTTCTCAGCTGGGTACTAATACAATTGTTCATATAACAAAATCACAAGGGAATATATCATGGTATAGGACACTCCTATAATAACAGGTACATCATATTTTAACAGAATTACACATCATCAGATGAAATGATATAATATATTCCCTTGTGTTTTTTGTTACATGTGCTCTCCTCTTTTAAAGGTTGTTCAAATCTTATAATTGTTCTTCATTATTCATACGTTATTTTCTGTCTTCGTTCACAGCCACAATTTCACGAATTGGTCACATCCCCGAATTATTAATTTAACTGTAGAACTATTCTGTTGGGCCAACAATACAGTTGACTTATCAATTTATCAAACATTTATTGACACATCCCTTAATCATTCAAAGTTTTTTTGACCATAACTTTAAAGATATATATAAAATACTACACACCATGGGATATGACTACGGTGAAACAAAAACACTACATTGGGTTCAAATTAGGAGCACCTCAATATGTTTATTTTCTGGCAACTGAACCTATATCAGAATCTCCGTTAATCTTTGTATGAGACACTTTTTCAACACATTCATTAAGTTTCAAACACAGAAATATTGTCCACAACAAATCATGTACATGTACACTTATCCCTTCTCACCACAGGGCCTGGAGAGAATGCAAGTCTCAAGGCGAATAACACAAATCACATTTCTTTATTTACAATGGAGTTCATGAAACTCTTTCAGTTTCAGTCAGTCTATATTACACTGTCTATATACATGGCGATATTATACCAATACAAACAATCCTGTTTATCAAACAATGATATATTGTGGTTTCAAATAAAAATTTAATGTAGGATCACTCGTGATGGCTGGCAAACATTTATGTTAATGTTCCTGTCACCTTTTTTCAGAATCAATCAAATTCTACATTTACTTAGCTCATTTAGAATGTCGTTCACTTATTGTTAGCAAATTCCAACCATGAGTTCAGATAGAAAACTTTCAAAATACTCAATAACATGTGCAGTCAATTAAAATTGACCAAGCTTTTAGCCCTTCACATGAGCTAATCATTTGAATCAGGCACCGTTTTGAAAATATAACATATTGGTTCTCAGAAATTCTATAGCAATATCCAAGCCTGTAACTTCTTATAAAGGTTGTTATGAATGTTGTCATGATGTAAATACATAATCAATGAAATTAGATAATTGTTTTAACAACTATAAATGGTTTTGTCAACAATATTATCAATATAGTGATGGTGGACTAGATTCATAATAATTTGATATTTTAACTCACATGGTAATATTATTTTACGCTTTTCCAAGACATTAACAAGTCACATGACACATACTCACATATATGATCAACTTTTTTAACATGATTTTCTTATAGAATTTTCTAAACAAATATTAACAAAAAAATTAGTAAACTTGTACAAAATGAATTTTCAATGACTTTGTTATTGTGAGAAATTCTTTTCAAATTTCTGAACACTGATGGCTTTAAGCTTTTCTTAATCTTATCCCAGTAAAATTTAGTGAGAAGAAATTTGAAAGTTAAAATTTGATAATTTCACCACATAATTCAAAATTATGAATTTTAGTGCTTTTCAGCTAAGTTGAACAGTACTGGTTTCTATTTTTACTTTTCTTTTCTAAAAATCCAGATCAATTCGTATTTAAGTGGATAATAGTATAATAAACTGACTTTATCATTCACAGAATTGTCACCAAATAACCCATGTCATAATATAAGTGAAGCTGATATGATCACACACAAAATTCTTACTAAGTACCAAAAGAGTCATAGTCCAACTGACAAAGAAATAGTTAGTATAGTAATCATACAGTAATGAAGTTTAAAAGAGTTATTCAGGCACTATAATGATGAGATGATATGAATATAAACATTACTAGGAGTACGCCAGGTCCGTTCTTCTATAATATAATAAATATGGCATCCTAGGAGGATTATATTTTAACACCTTCTGTACGTTAACTGTCTCAATACGGCGATCATCGATATTAATCCACCCGTTTATACCCGGGTGAAACACAGCACATGTATAATGTCCTCCACTAGACTTCACTCCATGATGATATACAACTACAAATAAAATAGAACATGGTCAGAACTAGAAGAGTGGGATGGCCATAGGTCTATAATTTGTAAGAAAATGTTCAATGATACTTTATTCAAACTCCTTAAAAACTTACTCATTTATTTACCATTATCCCTCTCTATCAACTTAATATTGTCTTTAAGAAGAGACTTGTTGGAAGACTATCCAGTGTCAAACAATGAAAGATTTTCATTAAATCCTTAATTCTTATCCAGGTTAGCCTCTCTTTATGCCAGGTAGGTAGGTAGGTAGATGACAAGTTAATGTTCGCTTCCAGCGGATGCTGATATCGCAAACTTTATGCCAGAAGAGTGTTGATATATGTAGCTGGGTAGTATTTTGACCCATACTGAGATCAAAAGTTCAGAAGCTTGTTTCTCGAAAATCTTCAATCAATTTTTTAATGTAAATTTAAACTTTAATTTAAATTTAAACAAATTTTTTGAGAAACAGGGGCAAGATCTCTATCTAAAAACATGGTTTATAAAGAAATATCTACAATACCTGCAAACAGTTTATAAGATTTATGTGAATTGGGTATTTTAGCTGTTGGTGAAACTAAGTCCTTCGTTATTTTCAAGTCAACATCAAATTCTATGTTTTTTAAGAGTTTCTGTGAACCCTCACTATTATATACAAAACATTTTAAATGTAAAATAAGAACTGGTGGCAATTCTTCTAGAGTTGTCTTTCTTAGAATCTCAATCTAAAATGAAATAAAGTTATTGTGTTATTTTATTCTTTTATGAGTTCTTTTTATGAATTAAGATTTGTAACGTAACCGCCATAGAGGCCTACAATAAGGGGTAATAGGAATCACGGACATGACAGGGATCTAGGAAATTCAATTGAAGACAGAGTGAGACCATCTTATGAAAAGAGAGAAATGAAGAAAATCTTGATAGATAACTTTTATCTCATTGAAATTAAGAATTTCAGATGTTTACCTTCTGGTTTGTCTTTTTATCAAAAAAATCTCCAACAATTTCTTTACTGACCAGACCTTCTAGAGCATCTCTTACAGAGAACACTTTACCCTGTAAGCATATAATAATAAATTAAAACCCAATCTTTCATGTGTATGATAACAGTTTATTGAACAATTAAAATAAAATTAAAACAGTTTAAAACCCTACAATGTCTTAGACATGAACCAAAGAAAGCATGTAATTATATTATATTATATCTTATTTCTATTCATTCCCATCAGTTTGAAGCTTCCACCGATGAGATATTAAAGCTTTTTGTATGTATCCAATTCTATATTTTATCCTCAAATATAATGAAATTATGGAAAAGATAGGGGAACACGTTTTTCCTATACTAACCCTTTGCAATCTGCAAAAGCCAAAAAATATCAATTAAATAAGTAAACAGTTTGCCACCTACCTGTATGTCTAGTTGAAGAGTAAAATATGGCTGTAACGTGGCAGATTCTTTAGATCCTGTTTTACTCACAACAGATCTCATTTGTCCAGCAAATATATCTGATATAGGTGTCTTAGAAAACGTGGCCTAAAAAATACATAAAATAAAACATGCACAAATCCAACTATTTGCTCACTATTAAATGCAATTATATTGTCCTCCTTAATTTGCAGTTTTATTCACCCAATTGAGGAACACATGTGCAGGACTTAACTAGAAACTTCTACCAATAAAACCATAACCTACCCTTCTTGTAACAACACTTTTATTTTTGGGACCAACTTGTTCCCATGAATCATCTTCATCTTCATCATCATCATCATCATCATCACAAACACCATTAGTCTGTGGTTCAGTATTGTTATTCTTTAAATCTAGACACAAAACAATGAGAATAAAATTGAACACAAATAAAGAATTGCTATATTAAAACAGAACAAAAAAAAACACGTTGTTACTCAGACTTGTACACTATGCGATCTTCAGACAACTGACCTATATTCAGCCTTAAATATTTAATATAGTGTAAAATTTTCCCTTTTTTCAACAGACGAAGACATGAGAGGGATATAAAGTGGCTCAACTGTCAATATCTTTGAAGAGTCCCCTAGAGTTGCTCTAGCAACAAATATTTATCTATATAAGACCACGCAAAAGTGAAAGACTTTATGAGAAAAGATTCATTTGAAGAGTAATAATATGCCTCAAACACACGATGCAGTGTTCGAAAGTTGTTTCCACAGATTTATACATAGTAAGGAAAGGTTCCTTACAGACAGTTAACAGATAGTTTCCCTCTATAACCTACCTTTAGAATTGATAGCTGCTGCCATTTCTTCATGTAAACCATCCAATAGAATACTGAGAAACTCTTCAGCATCTTCTTGTTTACCCAGCTGTAATACATACAGACATATTTAATCAAATTTCCTTTTGGTTTATCTTAAACAATGTAGTTGCGTACACCTTATTGAGCTTTGTTGAAGATTACCTATATGAGGTTTCATGAAAATCTAATGGAAGTCTGTGAATCCACATTTTCTCTTACTTACCATGCTCACAGTAAATATCTGGAGGTTTTGATTTAGCATCCAGAGTAAAAATTTGGTCTAAATGAGATTTTGTCATCAAACTATAGCTCTTTACAATAATCTTAACATATTCAGAAAAATATTCATGCATTCTCTATATATGTGGGGGCCCTAATATCAAAAACTTTGCAACTAAATACCAATGTACTTACCTTGAAAGCAGGATTAACTTCAATAACATGTAACATATTATGTACATATTTTGGTTCGAAATCTTGTCCAGGTTCTATATCATAGATCTTCTTAATTCTATCGTTTTTATTATGACCGTTCATTTCATAATGTCTGGGCATGATGTTAAATTCACTGGTAAACTGTAACCTGTTGAGTAAACAAGTCACAAAGTTGTATTCACACTGATTAACTCATTGAAGAGATACAGTCATAAAAATATTCTATTGAGAATGTCATTACATACAGGTCATTATGAAAAAAATGAAATGGTTCAAATTGAAGAATGGATGTCAATGAAACACAAAATAAGGTTTAGAAAACTTCTTTCCAAAAACTGTTTAATACATTTTTAACATGCAAAAAACAGGAAAAGTGGGGGTACCGAGTTCAGATTTTAGACGAACCCTTCCCAGTGAGCATTCATCAGTCTGAAGAGTCCAAATCTTAACTAGTTACTGAAAATCAGGGATAACTGGTCAATCAGCCAATTTTATCTCCTCTACATTTTTAACATATGTAGAATATAAATCACTGGGTTTTGGATCATTGCATCATGACTTCTTACTGTAAGATTTTAATTAAAATTTGATTGAAACTCTGAGTAACAACAAGCCCTGTTTTAATAATTCGAAAATTTGAATAACATAAGTTAAAAATAACATTTGAAGCAATAAGTAATACTTACAAGCTATCTAATATTGGTGTAGAACTAGAACCTCGAGACATTGGGGGGAAATCACACAATTTCTTCATCAAATGATAAAACGGAGGACAAGCTATTAATGCTTGTAAGGTCTAATTAATGGTTAAGGAAATCCAACTCATAAAATTGACAGTTGTAGTAAATGAAAATTGAACCTCTTAGAAGGAAGACAAAATGTACATGTTGGCGAGTACACTAATGAATACATGTATATACTCTCATTTGTCAAGCTTGGAAATCTATTCATTCTGAGGAAGGTACTATTCCTTAAAAAATGGTTTTCATGTCGGTGCTAAATTAAGTTGACAGTTTTCAAAACATTTAGTATCAACACCAGACATCTTATGACAAAACAAACACATTTGTAACATCAAATTGAACAATTCTGTGAGAAGACAAAGTAACATGTTTAATCCACAGAGCAGATTTCTAAAAGAATGAGTTGTACACCCATAACAACATCTGATTGAAAATATATAAAGGATACAGCATTGATATAGCACCAGTTACTGTTGTTGATTAACCCACGAGGTTGTAGAGCTACTGAGGCATGATTTAGTTTGATATGGCTTAATAATGCTGAAATACAAACATAGTCATTAACTGATATACATGGACACATTCAATGGTGTGACACAATGTATAGTATGGTATCATTTTGAAGAATGAAGCAATAAAGGAGATGGTCTGTAGCTTAGTTGGTAATATTGTTGGAATATTGACATCATTTGCTTCATTACGAACAACTTGTGGATGTGGATTCTAATCAGCGTGTGAAAGTCTACAATCTATACCTTGTAAAAGCTCTTACTTTTGGGAACTATATTTCGACAAAATTCCAGATGATAACAGAAAACTATAGCTACGATTGTAAGGAATACTTAGAAATAAGCGGGTTTTTTTTTTTTTAAAACTCACCTCCTAATTCTGATGTAGCAGAATCTTCATAGGCAGGAACTGGCGAGGGTGAGTGTTCTTTTTTCTTGTTGACAGTGGGAGCTGTTACAATTGGAGCAGGTATATTGGGTACCTTATCAGCATATACCACTGTTGATCTAGATGGTGTAGCTTTAAATAAACCAGCCCACGATTTAGATTTAGGTGCAGCAGGTGCTTCAAAAGGAGCAGGCTCCACACTGTTTTCTTTTGGTGATTGAGCTTTCGGTGATTGAACTTTTGGACTTTCTCTAGGAGAATTTTGTGCATTGTTATAAACTGGGGATGGCTCTTTTCTTACTGGCTCTATTGGTTTTTGCTTGACGACATGTGTCTGTGTGGGAGGAGTCTCAACTGGAGGGGGAGGAGCTAATGTCACAGTCTCAATCTCTGGTGAAGACTCTTTCTTAATGTTAGTCAAATATTCCATCTGTTGGTTATCATCTGAATATGGATTCAGGTAAACAGTTTCTGAATATTCTGCATGTTTGACATCTGTGTTGGTGTTTTCGTGATTATTGATGCAGACTGTGACTTCAATATTTCCTATCAATACTTCTGGTTCATAATAATCATTTTCTTCATTCTGTTTCGAGCTGGATTCAGTATCTCCAAGCTGGTCTTCACAGAAAAATGAAATTCCACTGTCATCTGCAAGGGTATCATCAACCAAGAATGATATTCCTGTAGATGGTTCACTGTTACCCAAAACTTGGTTAAATATACGACTTGATTTTATAGCCTGATCTAGACTTGGTTTTGTTAGTGGAGTTTCAGGTTGATCTGTGTCAAAGCTTTCTGGTGGTAGCTGAATAGTGAAGGAAACACTATTTTCATCTTCTGGCTCTACTTGCTGACCAGGGGATTCTTCTCTTTTATATTCAGCATTACTATTCACATGGTTGATATGTGCATCATTACTGACAGTATAGTTCATATTGGGCTGTGTTGGTACAGGTTGCTGCCCCTGATTAAGGTCAAAACTAGGTGGCATAACTGGTCCATTACAATGAGCGTAATGATTTCCGTGATCAGATTTAGCAGGTGATGGCATCTCAATGATGCAATCTGGCTGAAGGAGGGACCCATCTGGCAGAACATTTGGTGGAAATGGAGCGTGGACACCATTAACCATACCTGTAGGTGGTATAGGGTATGGCGCTAAACCTGCAGGAATCGGGACAACTCCTGGAGGTACAATAGCATAAGGTACGAGAATCTGTGGTGCTTCAACAGTAGCAGGAATTAATACTTCATTAGGTTGTTCTTGTAAGGATTCTTTATCTTCTCCTTGTACGTCTACAATGAAAAATAACATAGCAACTTTCACACCACTGATTCAAATGTAATTGTTTAAAATGGTGGTTGCTTTATGATTCAAAACAAGACATTTGTAAGGAAATTAAATGAAACATTATTTTCTCTGCTCACTACTATTGAGGACTACTCCAAGCTGTAGAGAAAGAAAGTTTGAAAGATTGTACTAGGACAGTAGGATTATCCTTTCAAACTACATAACTGAAATTATTTTAAAAATCTGAAAGTACTGTATAGTTTTAAGATGGAATGAAATTTAAATAGTGCCAGTTTCTTAGGTACATTCATAAATAGCACTACATACTTCGTTGGACCAAAGTCTAATGGTACATGCAATAACTGTATAAAATTATAATGAAGAAATAACAAAATATACTTACTATTTGATTCATCTTTCTCCTTCTCTGCTTTATTTTCCCAAGGGAACTGAAATAATACAAAGATAACTTGCCAGGCAAGGTAACATACGCCCACTGGCAGCTGTCAGAAATGATTAACAGTCTTTAGTGACTACAGGGTTGCACAATATAGCTAATAGAGTGAAACGTCAAGTCAGACACGATATTTCAGTGAAATATTATCCGATCATCGCGAAAATCGATAGGGATCATCTTCATAATGACATTGACATACAAAATAAAATTCAAAAGAATCTGTAAACAATTGTAGCCTGTAGAGTGAGCACGAGTTGCACAATATAGCTAATAGAGTAAAACGTCAGGTCAGACACGATATTTCGGTGAAAAATTATCCGATCATCATGAAAATCGATAGATCATCATGAAAATCAATAGGGATCATCTCCATAATGACATTGACACACAAAATAAAAATCAAAAGAATCTGTAAAAAATTGTAGCCTGTAGAGTGAGCACGAGTTGCACAATATAGCTAATAGAGAAAACGTCAAGTCAGACACGATATTTCGGTGAAAAAATATCCGATCATCACGAAAATCAATAGGGATCATCTTCATAATGACATTGACACACAAAATAAAAATCAAAAGAATCTGTAAAAAATTGTAGCCTGTAGAGTGAGCACGAGTTGCAAAATATAGCTAATAGTAATAGGGGAAAAACGTCAAGTCAGACACGATATTTCGGTGAAAAATTATCTGATCATCACGAAAAATCAATAGGGATCATCTTCATAACAACATTGACATACAAAATAAAAATCAAAAGAATCCATAAAGAACTGTAGCCTGTAGAGTGAGCACGAGCCAAATGTGAAAGGACGGACGGACGGGGTGATTACAATATACGCCCATCTTACGTGTGGCCGTATAAAAAATCAAAACATCACCTGGTACAGTCCTAAAGGAACCAGATAGACATTAAATTCTATGGGAATTTGTAATTTGGCATTATTCTTATTACCAAATAATAATGAAATAGAGTTTTCTTTACACTCTACTAATTGGGGAAATGAAGATGTGTAAGAACATAATTATATTATACAATGAGGGAAATTATGACAGGATAACAAAAAAACCTACTTTTTTTTTGATAAACAACTAACAACATGTCAATAGAAATTTGTAAGGTATTATCCCCGATCTACTCTAGAACTAACATCATATCACTCAACAGTGGCCAAATTATATAGTTGGTATATAGTTGGTGAAAAATCAAATTTGATTGGCCATTTAAGATCATGCTTTTCATTGGTCAAATTATCTTCACTATCTTGTAAAGAATCCAATCAAATTCTAATATCTCAACCGCGATAAAGTGATCAATGCATTCAGGGGAGGCATCTGATGATCTGGCCATAGAATTTCATTGATGTTCTCCAACAAACTTTATACATCATCTATAATATCTATTCTCACCTCAACCTTTTTACTGTGTCTATCACCATGAAGTATACTGACTACTTCAGAATAAGATTCTCCATCCAATCCATCCAATTCCACAAAATATACCTCCTGAAAATACCATGTAGCAGGGTTTTTTATTTATTTTTTTGTCAGTCGGACATTTCAACGACCTGTGAAATTTGATTTGAATTTCAACTTGCATGTTTTACAGCACCGGTATTGTCATGATGTTTGGCAAAAGAAAAGTTTTACTTTATCATTAATTATAATTACTCTGCCAGGCTATCAAAGAATGTTTAAAGTTTTGAACATGGCATGTAGTTATGTATACATAGTTTCCAACCGTCAATATCATGGCTTCCCAAAATTTCCCCAACACTTTTCCTAACACAATTTGAATCAGGCTGTGACTACTGATATGTTATATATGTCATATAGTTAATATTTTGAGTGGAATTAAGATCAGCTTCAGGTTCAAAAGACAAATAGAGTTTCATTGGAAAGAAGGGAAAAAATATTGTGAATAGATTTTTGATCATTTAACCTAAAAAAAACCTTAAATCATTCTGGGGTTAGAAATTCTGCTGCTTGGTATAAAAGCTAACGATTCTCATTATAAATCATCTCTCAATTGTGCTACCAAATGGTGGCATTGAATCTTTCACAATAACAGAGCTCTGAAAGTCTGTATCACAATCAAGTTAAAAAAAAACACATTTTGTTGGCTGTGGGATAAAAAAACAAACGCAAAGGATTAATTACAATATAAAATATTCAATATATTCTATCAGAGGTCAATTTCTGTCAATTATACAATTCCTTTTTCATGATAAAACTTTTATCTGAAATTTGTAAATATCATTCACGTAAGCTATGTGTACTAAATTTGAATTTGCACATTGGTCAGTAGACTTAACTCGTTAAGTTTTTTTTTAAAGGTCAATTTGTATATCAGAGAATAATTGTGCTTTGAAAAAGAAATGATTTGAGTAAATTGAATAGAAACCCCATTGATTCTTTCCTTCCAAATGTGTCAATAGAAAAAATTTTGGCTGAAAATTGCCCTCTAACAAGAAAAATTCAAGTGATAATGTATGTTCATGTTTGTATTGTTGAATACTAAATCATTATAAAGCAAACTGTAGGCTACTATTATGAATCCTACATTTATTCCAATTTTTATAAAAAAAAATAATTTGTAGCCTAAATTATGATTGGCTGACAATCTGCATGACATTAATTTGTATGTCAAGTAAATAGCGGCCATCTATATGAAAACTTATTTGGACACAAATGTACTTAATTTCAATTACAAAAAGTCAAACTTTCTACCAAACAGAATCAGATGAAACTCAAGACTCAAAATAATGCTGACTGGACATGTTTGTCAAAACAGGAAACATGCAATATATTGTCATTTTGATTTATCATTTCAATGATTATATAGTTTGTATCTCAACAATATCTACACTTTAGCATCCAAAAAGGAATTAATCGGGGTCTTCGAAAGGAGGAGCGCCTTATTTATGATGACAGGGGTCTATATTAAGTGTTGAAACTATTTGGAAAGCGAAAGTGATTTCTTCATAAATTGCAAGAGAAGATTTTCATGGAATGTGGACACTTTCGGTGTGTTTTTGGACATCAAATAAGTCTCGATTACCTAAGAATTGGGCATGTATAGAAAGCTGGGGATTTCGCCTAACGGTTAACCATATTACCTGATTAGAAGGATCCATATTTATCAAAACATCTGTTTATTTTTCAAACTTTATCATCAAGCATGGGATATGGGTGCCATATTTAACTCTTGTGCGCATGCGTACTAAAGGGAGGTAATTCTGACATTTCTTGCCTCCTTCTAACAAGTTTAAAGAGGCACTATGTAGGTTCTAATTCCACCTGAAGTCCTGACAGACTGATGGCAAAGGGGATTTCGTCTAAATTTGACTGGTTCAAGTGGAAAAATTTCCCATTTTAAGAATTTTTTTTTTTTTTTTTTAAATTGTATAATCATTAAATAATTTGTCATACCCGGTACATCTATTCTCTTCATCGGGAAACCACAAAAATTTTAACATTTGTTGAATATCCGAAAAGATACCGAGTTGAAATCCTCAATATTGTAAAGTGTCTTCAAATATTTGGGAAGAGTGATCATGCCATAGTCTTGGCAATAAAGTTCGCTGTGATTATTGTAGAAAAAACTCAATACGAATACAGTTTGTTACAGCCCTTGATTCCTTAATTCAAACAATTTTTGTGATGTGCATAGCAGTGTGCTCTTCTTTTGGCATCATAATATATTTGAATCACAAGAAGTTGCAAAAATACTTTTAAGCTAGACGAGTCTCTTTAAGATATCGGTACATTTTGATAACATCGGTGTATTGCAAGATAGAGTCTTTTTTGTATATTATCTTGCTCTGATTTACATAGTCAAGGCCAAAACGAGTCCAGTAAATTAATCTTCTTTCAAAATATACATATTCGTTGCTGTCTGTAGCAATTAGTAAAATATTGGGTTATCCCCCCTCCCATAGAATTTGCCTCTCGGATTTCAGTCCAATCTATAAAATTAGTATGCAGAATATAGCCTTATACAGAGAAGGGTTTATGAATAATTAAATATAAAAATCTCAACATTCAGTTTGTCGCCAAATTGCATGCACTTTTTCAAGCTCTACATTCGATTTACCGACAAATGTATTACAATAGACCACATTTCATTGAAAAAAGCGCATTTTCAGACAGTTGTATCACATTACAAAATGAAAACTTGACGTATGGTTCCCCTTCAATTCAATAAAATCGTAACGTAGAAATTTAGATTGGCTTCATTAAACAGACTTCAAATTTTAATTCCGAAAGTGTCTGGGGTAGCTGGGACTGTGCTCTGTACTATCGGCTGATATTAGGGTATAGAGTTTTATAAGAGACTCTGGATTTCAGTATTGACCTATAGACGACTATCCCTTATAAACAGAGTTACGAGTCTTGAATTAATAACCCCCCCCCCCCCCCCCCCTCCCTTCCCCCTTCCTTTGTAAATATTATACTTTAAAGGAGTAGATTGTAGTAATCAAGGGGTCAAAAAATTACACAGATAACAGTGCCTCAATTATTGCTGTATCATGTATGTCCTTAAGGTCGTATAGAGGGCCTACATCTTTATTGTTCTAAATGTCCACGTTGAATTTATTTCTAATGTTAGTCACACATGTTATTTAGAACTTTTTTGCCAGTTTATTCATGTACAGGTTGATGCCCTTAGAATCTGCCATTTTATTGATGCAAGCGTCATAGATCCAGCAACACTGAGCAGAGTGAGTTCAAAAAGTGAAAGCAAAATTGAAATCAAAAAAGCTATAGCATGGATTCTCGGATTGGCTATAATGCCAACGTTTAGGATAGATCCTGCAACTCTGCATATTACATCTTCACAATGTAACAATGAGTGCAATGGTCACTATTTTTATATCACAGAATGCCGCGATTAGATTGGATACGCCATCGAATACAGCCAAACATAGCCTTCGATAGAAAGGCTGTAAACATTGAGACTTTGTTTCACAAACGTGTGGCCTCTGATTGGCAGTATTCGCTAGCGTACAATCCCATAAAATCGCTTCATTTATAAACTTCCATGACACAAGAAAGGTGACTATAGAGTCAAAGTCAAAGTATAAGACGAAGTTCGTAATAGCTTGACATTGTGAAGATGGCATATTGAAGACATTATTTTTCCTGCTTCATAAAGACTTCAGACATATATATACTACAATTCTATCGCTAAATATATAGAAGTATATATACAAACACTAACTATATACAAAATGGTTTATTGAAAAATTACAAATGAACGAAATGACGAACATGGCGCTACATAGTTATATTATGATATATTTACAAAACTTAGACGAAGAGATTTTGAACCTCAATCATCCTCAGAAATCTTTGGCTCTTGAACATATCGGGTGGCTCAGAAAAAAACAATAACACTTTTTATTCATTTCAACCTTTGAAGTTAATTTGGTGAAAAGATATCAAGTATATAGATTTGGAGGTCGAAATATTATGGCCTTAGCTTCAAGAAGATTTATAAATAAAGTGGAATGAAGTGAAAAGTAATATCGCTGGCCACCCGATATCACAGAATTTGTCAAATAGTTCGACTAAAAATTACATATTAAATAGTCACAGCCCCATAGAACTGGAATTCAATTTGTGACAGAAGGGACTATATTCGTCAAGGAGGTTTTACCCTTTTGCATGTCTAAGATGAATATTATGTAATAAAATGAAGCCAATAATGATAAATTATAAGGCAAGCTATAAATGACATGAAATGGAGTTTTACATCCTACTCTTGTGCACTCTCTTGATTACAAGAGTAGTTTGATTCCAGTTAACCCATGGTCCCACCAGTTCTTCGGCTTATAGGCCTACCTCGCCGCCTACCTCGCCGCCTTCCTTGTATCATCGACTACAACGATTTAATTGGATTGTACGCCAGAGAATAAGCAAATCTCAGCCTCAGCCAATTTCAGTCCTCGACAAAAAGACTGTAAAAGTTACGGCTTAGTGTTTACAGACTTTTTGACTCCCCGATTGGCTGTATTTGTTGGCGTACAATCCATTCAAATCAATGCATTTACAAACTTCAGAGATACAAGAAAGGCGGCTAATTCAAGGCACGAGCAGAAGGTCGTAATAGCTTGACATTTTGAATATGCTTCAATACAGGCTTTTGTCCCATTTATTTCTGTTGCCTATATACGCCTTTATTTCTTATGGTCTACATATTTGTCGACAACAACGCTGTTAATACAGTCAGCTTATTCCAGAAGCTTACTGTTTTTCATAATCTCCATCGGATTTCTACTTAATATATGGATTTCCACTAATATGAAAAGTTACTTATAAAGCAAACTTTATGAAATGAGTATAGCTTTAGCTTCCATTGAAATATTTAAATAAAAGTAAGCGATATTAATGCTGTGATAACCAAGACTACTGTCGAGGTCGCTCTGTCACCTCCTGCAATTCGACACCGCATATCATCAAACCTGCAATACAGAAATAAATATTATGAATGATAACTTAAAGTAAATCTCTTTCGTTCATTTAGTCCATCACATTTATATCAATCGGCCTAGTCCACCATAGAACTCACCCACTATCAGTTTGGCATCATTACCACTGACCTGACCATGCGATTAGATAACTTAAAATGAATATTTTTGTATATTATATACAGATTTTATCAGCTGTTCAGTGAATGCACTCCTTTATTGTCTGTGAAGTATCTCTTTGTCGTTGTTCAGCGGCCTACAGCGTTCACATTTAACATGCAAAATTTGACTCCAGTAGTTTGAAACGCAAAACATGCTTTAAATATTTATCACTCTGTTGCAATATTTTTTACAAAAGGTCATATTGTTGTACTGTACATCGAACACGATTGTCAACTGTTTCGGGAATACAAGGCACGTTAGACAAACATGTCATTTGTGCACTACTAATTTCAGCTACTGTTACTGACAGCAATTAATAAATAAAATAATTACATGTAATGTAATCACATTTAATCCTACACTGCATTGGGATTAGGAAAAACCCGAGGACCACCTAAGACGAGTTACTGGTAAATATGACATGCCAAGAAGTATATTAACCCATTTTATAGAAGACTATCATTTAGAAGAACATCTTTGAAAGTGGAAAAGTGAAAGAGAGCAGGAAGGCTTCCAACAATTTATGGAACGAAGGAAGAGACAAATGTCACATTATCAAATACAGTCATTGATTTCTGATTGTAAGGTTATCTTCATAGTTTTTTTTAGAAAAAAAAAAGCCTCCATGGCATTCCATAGTATTTGTAAAAGTAACTGTTAATCCGAAAGTTCTGATTTAAAGTAAAAATTAGTTACTTACTTGCTGAATAAACCCATTCTCTTCTTTTCGTATTCCAATTCTATCAGCGATCCTTCAATCCAGAATTTATTATCTTTATGCATATATTCAAAACCCTCTTTACAATCACATCTGTAGGCACCTCGGGCAAATTTAAAGCCAGCCATTGGTCGACACTGAAACGAAAATGAAAGTTATTATATGGAATATCGTTCGGCAGTGTTCGTAAAGCTACATCTGTTGTAAAGCGCTCACGGAACTTTTTTGGTATACTGTTTAACGGAAAATTTTGTACGGATGCTTTTTAAACCATTATTATATAACATAACAAGCTGTGTTAGAATTTAAAGATCTGTAGTTCGGACGCCAAATAAATTGATAAATAAAATTGATATTTTCCTTGTAAAATAATCTCAATGAAATATCGTGAAATGAAATGACGTTTCACGTCCAACTTATTTGCACCTGATTGGGGTATGAAAACGCACGAAATATCATGCTCAACCACGTCTGAAATGCTAGCAAATAGTGCTTAGTACAATGGCAGTTGACAAACTTTTTATATTAGTTGTGCCAAACAGTAAATATAATGAGGAGAGGATGAGTTATCGTTCCTCTGATGAAAATTCTCTCCTTTTACATTGTATAGGGGTACGGAGAGGGGAGGGGGTTAATGGTTTACACTCCAACTTTATTTTTAACGAATTTAAAATATGATTTGTATACGTATTTGCCCAAAAATATATGGAAGATAGCACCAAATCAATAAAAAAATTTCGAAAATCTTCTCAGACACTCCATGAGAGACCCCCTATTTGTACTCTCTGTCTCGGAAGGCTGGCGCCGCCCTCTGATACAGCTTTTACTTAAACTATGTCTTTTTTTACACCCACACCATAAAAACTTCACTACATTTTCTAGGTATTTTGTTGCAGTTTACAGAAGGCTCTATTGTATACGGAACATGATATGCTGAACCTAATTATCATAAAATAAGTAATGTATAATGGATTTCAAAAGGTGAATAAAAGAAAAGACATAGAATTACAGATTAACAGTTATATGTAATCTGATAAAAAAAATACGCCTATTAAAGGTAGATATGTTAAAAAACTCATTCTCGAGCTAACTACATTCTTAAATAGCTGTGACCTGAAGATGGAGGATACTCATGCAAAACTGAATAACTCATCTGTATAAAAATAATATATTAAAAATTTCTCACAAGTATGGGTAAATAATTGCCTCGTTTTTACAAAGTCAAGGTCAGTAACTCAAAAACCAATCGCTACCAAAACGAAAAGGCGAGTCGTCAATGAACTTCCAAACGCGGATGATTAAGAATACACATTGATAAGAAAAATCTTAAAGTAATTCCTGTTTCAGAGACCAATATTAAAGTGCACTTAAATATATCCGTTATAGATGTGATGTGATCTTTAAATAAAAGGGTCAAGGTAAATATAAAAAATATCCTTATTCAGCTATTGACCCACTTATTCACAAAAAAATCTATTCGTGAAAATGAAACCCTTTTTCAGGTCTCGAAAGAATAAATAATGAAGAGGAAAGATCAACCCAGTGTCTACTGATCTATATCGACGCCGAGTAGTCGGATCAAACAGGGTCAATTTTAATGTCCTTAAATAGAAATTGGACCATCGTGTCCCCATTCTTTTCATTGAATGATCTAAATAACAAAATTGGTACATATTTCACAGTTTTCCGTAATATAACCCTAAGCCTTTCATAGAGAACGACAAGAGTTTGTGTGTTGGTCCTTGATGAGTAAAATTATACAGATTATCTACTTCAGATTGTAATTCTATCTGCTCTAAGAAGTTTAAAGTTTGAATATTATTTATTCATTATGGTATAGGCCAGCCCTCACTTGATCTTTTGTCAATTAGAACGATATAGTCTGAAGTTTGTTCCTACACATTCCATTAGTCAGATCTATAGGTCTCATATATAAAGGGACTATTGCACCATTCTTTTTGACCAATCATACTTAAGTCTCAGAAACAGAAAATTTTTAGCTAAGCCAACCAGTAATAGTGTTCACAGCTCACTCTGTCGACATTTGAGCCTTCATATTTATGCATGGCCAGAATGTTAAAATGAGTCGTCATTTTAAGATAATCTGTGACATGTAAATAAAATATAGAAATAGTGAGTCAAATGCCTAGTTTCAGATATTTTGGAAGTAATTCTGCAATTTTCATACATTTCTAGTAAATTCAAAGACTATATGTACATATTTTCAAGACTCACATCAACCCCCAGAAAGGCGCATCTGTCCCTATAACATCAAAATCTGATTCAAAGCATAACAGAGTTTGGGAAATGTTTCCACTTAAATTGGCACACAGATCTTTTATTGTTCTTCACAATAAGGAAATAACGACATCCAAAATTATATGTCAGTAAAGTTATTCTAAGTTGGCATTGTTACCCAATCAATATAACATCATAAAGACGGCTTATACGACGATATTATTAATATCAATATTCATTTATTAACAGTTCGCTTATTCAGACGTTTTTTTGATTGATATTAAGTAAAAACCTTGTAACGGTCTGTCTATTTCTGACCCCCTTGTTCTATATTTACATGTTTTTTTAATAGTGCATTAGTATAACTATATATGAACTATATAGGTCACTAGGTACTAGGTAGGCCACTTTATCCCGTCAAAATAAATGTCGGTTACGAATTATCATCTACAACAATCTTATAAAATACAGCCCTTGAATATCCTTTTGCATATTCCCCTTTGGCTGCTTTAAACATGGTACAAACTACAAACAGGAACGAGTGTACTAATACACAGAAATTAACAGAACCAAACATTTAAAGCTCTGTATTTTAGAGTAAATTGCAGAAAAAATGGGAAAATCTGAAGAGTGCATGTCTGATCTCTACATCAAACTGCGCATTCAGATTGCCACAATAAAGATATGTAACAAAATACAGGCGCTTACCTTTGTGGAATCCTGGTCACATCGCGCAGTATTTTTAAAAGCATTGGCTACATGGAATGGTTGTGGACATTGGTTGATCTCTATCAAATCTAAAGGTACATCTACTGTTACAACTCCCCTGAAATATACAGAAATAGACAATGGGGATAAGCTTAGGAATGCCCTTGTTGGACACAATGAAAAAAGTCGAGGAAGCAAGGTGCGAGAACAAAGCCCACTTTGTTGCAGAACTATAACAGGGTTCTCTAACATTTACGATGGAATGGTAAAAACATAAAAGCCCATGTGTGTAACGGAATTTACCACAGTGCCAATTCGCCCAATTGAAGGATTAGCTCTACAATGGATCTGGTGTTTATATTTAAACACGCCAATCTACCAAATCTTATTCCTGGCAAGTGGAGCTCACTTAGAAAATCCAAAAATGTCAAATGTCTAAAAAAAAGTAACAATCAGCATGGACCCACAAGTTAGACAACAACTGTTTTGGATGATGACATTGAAGCCTAGGTGGACAATGTCATTACTTCATCATTCTATGGATTTTTCGAAATACCTATGTATGCATGTACTTACTTGAATTGTATCTTCCTTTTAACCCCATCCCAGCCAAAGAATGGAATTACATAAGTGACTATCCAGCGGTCAACACGACCATCACATTTAAATCTAGGGTTAGTCCAATAACCATCCTTATATTCCGGTGCTTTATACCTCAGTGGGAAATGTTCGAATCTGATTCTGCTGTCACCTTCTGGATTCGATCTGATATGGGGTCGAACCTTGTAGGTTTTCAGTCCAGCAATGTTTGTCAACCATCTTGATTTGACAACTGCAAACCAATCCTCATCAACATAAGGTTTGTCCAACCCAGCACTGTCAATAGCATTGTAAGCACCATTCTTTCTGAAGGCTAACGGTCCGAAGTACTCCTTAACGGTACCATCTATATTATAAAATTGATTCCTATCATAGAAAAGTCCACTGGATAAAATTTTAGGGTTTCCCATAACATTGGCAATAACTTCTCCAAATAGATGATCTTTATGTAACCTGCCACCACCTCGTAAATTTCCGTAATTTTCGTCAACGTCTGTATTTTGGAGAAAATTGCTCAGAAAGTGGGCAAGTCGGAGAGCAGTTCTTGCCTCTACTTCAAACTGTGTGTCCACGCCATAAGCTACACTTCCTGGGAAGGACAAGGTATTGTCTGGCAAGTCCTTGCAATTTTCAGGAGTAACTGAGTCTTTTTGTCTCAAGATTCGTAACATTTTTTCAAACGCTGCATAGTCATATGTTACTGATCTCTTGCGACGGGTATGGAATTTCAGTCTCTGAGATGCTGTAATTTGTTTTTTAGGTTTTGGTTCTGGTTTTGGAGGGGGTGGAGGAACTTGTATTTTTACTCGACGAGGTTTAAATTTCAATCGTTTTCCCTTTTGATTCTTTGGACCAATTATCGGGCCATTGTGATCCACCGTATCATTAAAGGATTGTAGTTTTCTACTGTGGTAACCCTCAACGTGGGAAGTGTCACGTTTGAACTGAAGAAAGGTGTTTCCTCCACTAGCACCTTCGACAACAACATTTTCAGCTCCTGGATTATCAACAACTGGAAGAACTTGTAGATCTGAAAAATGAATAAATGAAATGATTAACATTCTTGTACACCTGACGACACAATACTAATATGTCAAATGTCTCAATGAATGGATGAATGAATGAATGAATGAATGAATGAATGAATGAATGGATGAAAATCCTTGTACATGTAATTAAATATCAAACTATTCTGAGCCATTCAAATATTTATAATAATTCATAGATGTCAATGTTTATTATGTAGAGAACGGTAGGGTTGGTGAATCATACTCACCCCACCGAAGTTTTAGAAATAACAATTTAATCAGATTTGCAAGACTATTCACAGTTTATTATTGAGCAACGCTATTGTGTGATATGGATATAGAATCGATCTATTGCATACTGTTATTAAAACCAGATTTATTGATCGAATAAGAAGCATGCCTGGCCTTGATAAACACACAATGGGAAATTCACTGGTTTTGCCTGATCGAAATATAACGACTTATTACTCAGAGGTGATATATGACATAACAATGATTATTCAGCCAACTGTTAAACATTTATGACTGACCCTTATTCATTTTCTATGATCCTTGCAATTTGTCTAATAACATGTGCAGGAATACCATACCAAATGATCTATTATTCTGTAAAGATTATTTGGGTAATATATTTGCATAAATTTTGAATATCTTTGGCCTCGCATATAAGACCTTGACTCAATTCTTTTATTGACTCACTAACTGGGTTTTATGGTCATTATTTCCAAGAGAGTATTAACCTGATTTGTCAATAAGGGGAGGGTTCTCCAGATCTGTCAATAAATGTGAATGATATATGTGTCAATTCTAAATTTTAACCAATGTTATAAAAGAGAAAAATGATAGTAAACGACGGGTTTTATGATTTACAGCTGCGACCTGTCAGCCACTGCAGTAAGGTAAAATCAATATAAGCCGAAAAATAAAAAGCCTGTCATTGATGTTATCCTGCATAACCAAAAATAGAAAATACAATTTATTCATTAATTCATTTAATCCTGCATAACCAAAAAAAAGAATATTTATTTATTTATTTATTTATTCATTAATTCATTTAATCCTGCATAACCAAAAAAAAGAATATTTATTTATTTATTTATTTATTTATTTATTTATTTATTTATTTATTTATTTATTTATTTAATTATTTATTTATTTATTTATTTATTTATTTATTTATTTATTTATTTATTTATTTATTTATTTATTCTGTATTTCAATTTTATTGATTTATTTTCAAATTTACTCTTTTCTAAACCATTTATTTTCAATTTCTCCATCAAATTGATTTTCTTTATCACATTTTATTTACCATTTAAGTCAAATATTTTTATTTATTCAATCGCTATATTATATTGATTTGGTATATTCATTAATTGGGAGCCACAAGAGACAAAACATATCTTACGTTGAACTTCACTGCAGGAGAATCCTGTCTTGTACTCTGTATCTGTAGCCTGTTCGATATGTTCACCTTGGAAAGGAGGGTCAATCCACACTGGATATCTTCTACCAGGTTTACAGGCACAAACATACCCGCCTCTCATAAACCCATATCCTATTTTATTCTTGCACTGAAAAATAAATAAATAAAAACCTTATAGTGACTGCTATAACTGCCCCATGTCGTTACATCGACAAAGTCAATGATATACATCTAAATGAAAGACAAAGCCAGAGCACGGTTACATTCTCATTCTCTGTGAATGAGAATTCCTTGCTGATAATTCATTTACACAATCTATATTATCTATATCTCCTTTTTAGATTTCGAATTTTCACAGCAATTATTATCATTTTGATATTTATACTTACAGTGGTTCCAGTTTTACATCTATGTATACCAGAGAGATAACTAGGACCTGGGTTTCCTGTTCCAGGATCACAGGAATTAAAATCTATCATATCCCAATCTATATCCATCACAATCACACCAACAGTTCTATAATACAGATATCATATTCAGTTTAACAATGTAATTATACAATACAATGATACCTACCTAGTCTGATCTAATATATATCAATATTCAAGTCTGTTATGGCACTATTTCTAAGTCAGTATGTAACAAATAACGTCTTATTAATCAGTCGGTTCTGATAAACATTTTTCAGTTCAAAAAATATATACAAATATTAATGTCTGTTCTTAAAAGTACAGATATGAAAGTCTGTTCTTACAAATATAAATATCAAAGTCTGTTCTTAAAATTTTTGATATTAAAGTCTGTTCTTACAAATATAAATATATAATTCTGTTCTTACAATTATTCATACTAAAGTCTGTTTCTAAAAATATGTATATTAAGTTTGTTCTAAAAATTAGAACAATTAAAGTCTGTTTTTACAGTTAGAAATATTAATGTCTGTTCTTACAATATCTTAAAATACAATTATAAATATTAAAGTCTGTTCTAAAAAATAAAAATATTAATATCTGTTCTGCAAATTATAAATATCAAAGTCTATTCTTACAATACCAATTATAGAAATTAAAGTCTGTTCTTACAATATTATACAATTATAAATAATAAAGTCTGTTCTAAAAATTATAAATGTTTATATCTGTTCTGAAAATTATGAATATTAAAATCTATTCTAACAATTATAAATATTAATGTCTGTTCTTACAATTATAAATATAAAAGTCTGTACTTATAATTATACATATAAAAGTCTGTTTTTACAGTCAAAAATATTAAAGTCTGTACTTATAATTATAAATATTAAAGTCTGTACTTATAATTATACTTATAAAAGTCTGTTTTACAGTCAAAAATATTAAAGTCTTACAATTAAAAGTATTAAAGTCTGTTCTTACAATTATAAATATTAATATCTGTTCTTACAATTATAAATATTAAAGTCTGTTCATACAGATGTAAACATTTCAGTTATAAAATAACATTTAGGGTCAATTTAACATAAGCTATCTATTTTAGTGTTTCAGTAATTTGATTGCTTGATTAGTTCGTTCGATAAGTGATTCCATTAACCAATCAGATTTCTATATTTCTGATATCTATAGTTCTATAATGGACATTAATGAATTTATTCTAGCTATGAATTTATTCTAGCTATGATTTTGTGACATTGGAAATGAAAAAGCTCACCTTGGTCTTCGCATGTGTGTCCAATTAGAATATCTGGGCATATAATCAATTATTGGACTAGTGGCACTAAACATCCATTTCCCCTGAACGCCACAATCAAAATAAGGTTTCGTATAGGTCACAGGAAACATTTTGATATCCTTTTCGTTTTGTCCGGGAAGAGGTGGTCCGAAAAACGGATGTGCGATGTAATTATCCTCCGTAAACTGTCCGGAAACGTTTGAATATCGGACACCAACACTATATGTAAACTTAGTCACGGAATCCTTCTCAGCTGTTAAATCCGGTAGCCAATTACTGTACCATGGATTCATTTTATAGCTCGCTAACGTATAATTTTTACCGTTTCCAGCTCCCAAATCCGTTACGGCTGCGACATTCCGGGTCGGTTCTCGGAGAAAGTTATCCTGATCCTGATAATCATCCCATCGGTAGGCTTTAGGTCCAAATAAATGGAGAGTGTTATTAAATGGAAGGTTACTGTACCAGTTGGGATATGTACAATTGAAATCGAATATTATAGCACTAGCGTTTATTCCAGTTGGATTTGCGTTTACGTCTGCGGCTACGGAAAAATACATATATAACCAGTTAGGTTGTAACGAAAAATCGTTTGTAGAATTCATTTTTTGAAGAATATAACTGAAGAAGAATGCTCGATTTAAAGCCATATTATGAAGATGTATAAGGGAAGTTCTGTTCCGATACCAAACTCGGTTCAGTAAGTTATTATAAAAGGGTATCTGGGTCACCAAATCTTCCCTCATCACCATTTCAGCCTTACTCTTTGATCTACAGTTCTGATCATCTACCGAGTTATAAATTTCCTCCATTTCATCGAATTTATCATATCCCATCCAATCATACCGACCACCTTGTACACTAACCAATATCACCAGCACAAAAACCCTCAATAACCACGGACATATATCCATCTTGGCGATTCCTCACTGATAATCACGACATTCCTTGACTTGTATCTCTAGACCACTGAATAGAAAATAAAAAAAACTGAAATACTGGTACTATGCGGTTTATATAGCTAACTACTACGTAATGTGATTTCACAAGATATTAATATGGCTTATGTCGAAGTTAGTCCGAAACTGGTTAATAATTTGGAAGATGTTGATTACCATAGGAACAGCTACTAGCTACTAGTATATGAATATTTGTGTTTGGAATTTTAAACATGTTTGCATAAACCCGATCCTTTAAGCTTTGATTTTTTTGGGAATGTTAAAAAAATTGTGTGTATTCAAACCCATAATATTGTGCTCCTGTCCTTCTACTCCCCGGATCGCCTTTTTTAGGAGTAAGTTACATCGAACACATGTTAGCCCATAGAAGGCTTTAAAATCCGCATAAACCAAGCCGACATCTATCAAACATTTACCCGAGACAACTCTTAATATTATACAGGTGGGCCAATTTCATAGAGTCGGACAGTTTCAGACTAAGACACAGTCAGCTAAGCGTGGATTTCATTATAGTAAGTATAGAATTTGAAATTATATTTCAATTCAAATAATGAATACCGAGCATTAACTTTGTCACACTACACTGTAATCTGATGCAAAGGCTGCTTTATGATATAACCTATATAAAAATAATAATATTGTACACAGACATAAAAATTTAACCTAATTGACAAAAAAATGATTATTTAAATGTAACATAAATGCAACGCGTATGGTAGGCCTAATTCAATATGAAGTCATTATATTGGGTGGCCCAGAAAAAAGTAATACGTTTCATTTCAGGATGTTTCTTCAAGTATCAAAGCTAATATCATTATATTAAGACCTCTTAATTATAGATATATTAGACATCTTTTCACAATCTCTCAGCTTCGTGGTTTGAAACATTTTGCAATGGCAGCATTTTAAGAATTCGTTTTCAAAATTTTCAGTGCTACTTTTTGAAAAATCCTGAAATGAAAAGTGTTAGCGTATTTCACAGTCTTTTCTAATTCTATTATGTTATCGAACTTTCACAACTTGTATTTGTTCGTTTTTGTACTGAACTGCATTAAGTATATTCTAAGGTCCATATATCAGTTTTATAATTTTTATAAACCTTGCACCAGTTTGATTATATTCAAAAGTATGTCGTCATTCATTCCAGAAAAAAAAAACGTTAATGGCTTACCCTGCGATCTATCATTGGAATATTAATTCTTCTAATTTTCTCCAATCATAATTCAGATTTAAATATCAAAATCATGAAGATCACATATTGTTTTTAAATCTCTGTTCGATCTAACATAATTAATTATGACAAAATTATTATTATCGCTCTTCCCCGAAGCGAAAAACAAATGCATCATAGAACAAAACAAAATATTGCCCTACCTATTTCAAGTTAATGGTTTCCAGTAGAAAATAGAAGCTCTGAAAATGAATTCAGGAGGACTGAGAGGTCATGACAGAGCAAGAGAGTGACAAAAACAAAATGTAACCAAGGAAGTTTGGGGGAATATCCACTGTCTTAGATTAATTAACATGCTATTGGACTTATCATCCGATTAACTGGGCTTTAAATAGCCAAATTAAGGCCTTTTCATAATGAACATTGTATATGGTACAATTAGATGAATCGTTAATTAGGGAAACATGTAATTACAAGTTTTTTTTGTTTTGTTTGAAATGAAACGTTAATGAAGACGGTCAACACCATGCACTACCTGTAGTGTTTTGCAAATTTTTAAGGCCAGGGGAAATCAATGTATAATTATGGAAATTTTGTAAAGACGAAGTTAATTTCCCAACCAATATGACGAGCTGTGGGGTTTGTGTAATTTTCTTGGTAACTATAAAGGCACAGGAACTGTTTGCAGAAGATATGTGTTCTTACTTTATAGTTGGTGAATAAAATATCATTTTGTATTAGTTGGAATTCCTATAATCAGCATGCAAGTAATCGGGGAACAACAAAAAAGAGAAAATAGGGTTGTGATTTGTTTATACCCGCTCTGTAAAACTTCTGTATCCTCACTGTGATTGGAGTCCAGATACATTCGTGATATTAGTCCCGCGTAGGTGCTTTACTGTCTCTAATTTTTCTTTACGATACCATAAAATCCTGACCAGATTACTGCGAAAGAGAGGCAGTCGATTATTGTTATGAAAATCGTGGTATAAGGAGAGTATCCAACTTACAGGCATGACAAACAGAAAATAATACTAAGTAATTTTCATTTACACAATGTTTCATTGTAATGTGCAGTAAAATATTATTTTCGTTTTTTCATTATTGAGACACCATACATCTGACACGTTCGCACGGAAACGACCAATTAGGAAAATAATTGTAATATTTCTTACATTTTTATTTTAGTTTTTTGAAGGACATTTTATAGTATAATTTATGAGTGTGTATCCGATCTCTCAATTGTTTATTTATACTAACTATATTTGGCCCTTCAAAACTCCAAAATAGAACTAATCCCATAATTATAGCCTATTCATTACCTCATATTATATACGTCAAATTGAATGATATTAGGATTAGTGACGTAACGAAGATGATTTGCTTGAACAGCTAAATTCGAAGTGGTTTTGATTGGTTTTTTTATAATTTTTGGATAGAAACAACTCTTACACAAGAAACAAAATGAGGGGAGGGGGCTCGTTTTTTGTGATGGAATTAATAAATTTGATACCCAAGGAGGCTCACATACGACATATTTCACTTTTTATTTTGAATTCAAAACTTTAATATAAAAACGTAAATTATTTTTACCTAGGTGAAAATTATGTGATAATTCCGATTATTTTGTATTAAAAACTTTTTTTTACGTTTTTTACAAGATGGAGGCTGGTCATATGGACTTCAAAAGGTTTTAATTAAAAATTCGTTGATTTATCACCTAGGTAGACATTTAAAGTTTTTAATTCAAAATTACACGAAATATCACACAATTTTCACCTAGGTGAAACTTACCATCACCTAGGTGAAAATTAAAGTTTTTAATTAAGAATAACAGGAATTATCACTTAATTTTCAACCAGGTGAAAATATTAACCCACCAAGTAAAAATTAAAGTTTTTGATTCAAAATACAAAGTGAAATATGTCATATTTGAGCCATCGTGGACACCACAGTACTAATACGTCTTTATATTATATGATAAAAATACAAATGCAAAATTTCAAAATTAATACTTGTATATTTCCAATGGTCTACAGTTAGTTAATTGGCAAATTGTTTTTTTCAGAAAGTTTGTTTGTAATAAACATATAATAAATACCTGTTATTGATATCCTAATATAGATATTGTCAACTGTAGCTTATCCAATGACAAACTGGTATGAAATTTGAACAACAAGGTGTTATACATCGAATAAACTAATACAATAAACTGCTCGTGAACAAATATAGTCCTGTTCTCAGACACAGCTGTAATTTTCCCCTCACTTTTTAAGGTGATATTACCCCTGCTGACTTAAAGGAGTTGTAAAGAGGTTTTCAAAACTTTTTTTATTGGTATTTGGGACACCGATAGCACCGATTTGCAATCAATGTCCCTGATACACATGAAAGGTTTAGAAAACCTCTTGACCATCTTATAATATAGACAATAAAAGGGATTTGCTGATAGAACTCAATACTACCTAGATCTATCTTTAAGGTATATCAGCCTTCCCAGCAAATATCTAATCAGCTATATCCATTCATCTATATTTTGATATGAAATGAAGTTTTAAAGCCATACAACCTACCTAACTTTCTCTGCACCTTGTTGTGCTGATTTAAATGCATTGAAGTTTAAAAAATGGTTAAAGTCTCATAATTTGTTTTAATGGTGTGTTACAAGTGTATTTTATGTTCTTTATCTCATGTTCTACCGACATGGAGATCTAAATATTAAATATGCACGTTTCTATCTGATGGAACATTTTTCTAGTAAAGTATTTCTTAGTGTTATACATAAGTGTATACAGTTCGTCTGCAATTATATGTTTATTTATAATTATTCTAAATTTATTTTTAATATATTTCCTTTTCAATTTTCAATTCAGAAACGTTTCCAAACAGTCTATTCCCATTCATGTTTTGCGAAATATAAATGCAGAGGACGTAAAATAGCTAGGAAGCTGACAGGTCTGTGTCGAACAGGTCTAGTTTCATTTCAATTTTTTTTATTGATCAGCTTGATGTATCCCTATAACGACCCTTATGGTTTTCATAGTTCGAGTTATATTTGAAGGGATTATGCGATTTTCGGCAGTTGTTCTTCTCAAGACTATTTACAAATATTCAAGACCAAAACCAACCCCCGAAAATGGCGACACATGGCATTTAAACTCTTTTTGATTGAATATTTGAAGAATGTAAAAATGAACTTTTAAAATATCACTTTTTCATTATGTAACATTTACCAATGGTCATATTGTAGACAGAATGTCACTTTGTTGTATGTAGATCTATGCGTTCAGAATATTTTCTATTAATGAATTTGTAACATGTAGAATTTTGTATAGCATTTTTGGGTGGGTGACTAGCGTGTTAAACCCTATGAGAAATGAACCCTACATATCCGACTCTCGACAGTTTCTGTAAATTGATTATGTTTACGATTGGCTTGATACAAAATTACTGAACAGGAACTCGAAATAGACAACCAAATTCAGAGTACCGTAAAGTTATGCTGAACTATTCTTATACACTTTTTGCTTTTATGACTTGAATAAACACACATTCAAGAGTAATATTAACATTTCTCATTAGCTAATACATTATGTATGATGTCATCCGTAATTATTCATATTAAAAATATAAAATATAGGCCTATAAATCATATAAAAATCGATTATAATTGGCTCAATCAAATAATTTCCATATTACATTAAATGATATGTTCAAATTTGTTGCAAGATCGCATTGAACTTCGAGTAATTGCATTTGTCTTGTGTTTCAAAGCGGAGGAGCA